GAGAATACACATGCAGGGCTCTGTGCACTCCCGCACACGGTCAAACCCTAGAAATCATGGCCACTGCGTGCACCGTGTTCAGATGGAAAGCTGCGCTAGACACGTGTGCATCTGTGGTTGTAAACGAAGAGAGATGCTTCTGTGATTAAGAAAGTTCAAATGTGTTTAAAAGCCTGACTATCCAGGCGCAGTGTCTCACACCTGTAATCCCAGCACTTTGGGAGGCTGAGGCGGTGGATCACGAGGTCAGGAGATCAAGACTATCCTGGCTAACACAGTGAAACCCCATCTCTACCAAAAATACAAAAAATTAGCCGGACGTGGTGGTGGGCACCTGTAGTCCCAGCTACTCGGGAGGCTGAGGCAGGAGAATGGCGTGAACCCGGAGGCGGAGGTTGCAGTGAGCCGAGATCGCGCCATTGCACTCCAGCGTGGGCGATAGAGTGAGACTCTGTCTCCAAAAAAAAAAAAGCCTCACTGAAGTCTATGTTATTTGTTCTGATCATAACGGACTGACTCTGTCGGTGTGAGTATGGGGATGAAAGACTTGGTTCACAATTTTCTTATCTTAAAAAAAGATCTCCATGCTTAAAAGACAAAAGAAAACATTTTGATCCACAGCTTTAATGCTCAGGATCATTAATGGCATTGTAGAAATGGAAAAATAAAAGTCAGCCAGGCTCTGTGGCTTGCACCTATAAATCCCAGAACTTTGGGAGGCCAAGACGAGAGGATTGCTTGAGCTCAGGAACTGACACCAGCCTGGTCAACATGGCAAGATACTTGTCTCTACAAAAAATAAACAATTAGCTGGGTGTGGTGCCGCAGGCCTGTAATCCCAGTGACTTGGGAGGCTGAGGTGGGAAGATCGCTTGAGTACAGCTGCAGTGAGCTATGATCATGCCACTGCACTCCAGCCTGGGTGGCAGAACGAGACCCTGTCTCTTACAGAAAAAAGAAAAAAATTTTTAAATAAAAGCCACAACATAGAAATATAGTCATTTCACCATGCAAGCACATCAAAACATTGAAAAGGAGGACAGGAATCTCTTAACATCCAGATGGCAATTTAATGTCCTTGATCACCTGCCTGGGGCAGCTCACAGTGCCCCTTAACCTGAATTGATGGCTTTTGATGTAATAACTAGAGCAGTGTTCAGGGATTCAAGGATGTAACAGGACATCAGCTCCAATAACCTGGTGATGTTTGACCATTTTGTTCACTCCAGAACCTTCAGCACTTAGAACGGGGTCTGGCACAAAATAATGCACAGTAAACATTTGTGGAATGAATGATACGTATGACTCAGAAATTAAAACAGAGGTTTCCAGTCTTTTTGGAGATCTTCAACTCAACGAATTTGACGAGAGTGATTTCTAAGAGAAATAAATGTGACAGCACAGAGAGTACACCTGCCACAAGCCATGCCCCGCCATAGATGCAGGGAGCAGGAATGACATCTGTCCCACTCACGCAGGCAGCGGCTAGCCACCAATGACACAGCACCCTATGTGAATAAACATCCGCAGGCGGTAATCCACTACAAATTCTTCTCATCGCACTTCACTTCTTTATTTCCTCCTTTTTGAAGGTATTTTTTAAAGCATAAAAATGAACACTTATGATGCCAAGCAACATGATGAAACCCCTCCTTGAATTCACAGCTTTGTGTTCTTAGCACACCTCCAAGCCACCCAGGGCCAACAAGGTCAACAACACAAGTGTCCACACCAAGGCCTGGCGGGTCTGAGCCGCTCCTGTCTACCCGGCACACCCTGAAACAGGTGTTTGAGCTCAGCGCTCTGTGGGCCGCGGGAGCCAGGGCAGAGCAGGCATCCCTGGCAGCAGACAAGGACCCCAGACGAGCACACACTCCTCTGAGGGAGGAGAGGTCAGCTCTCACACCTGAACCTGACCCTGAGTCTACAGCCGCACTGGACCAGAGCAGAGGGTGACTGTGGCTTTCTACGCCCAGGAGGGGCCTCCAGCACCTATGGAAGGAGTCAAGGGCAAATCTGGAGTCCTGCTGGCAAAGGTGGCTCCAGTTAGGAGACAGGCAGGAACCCACAGTGACACACAGCATGCTTCCTGGTGTCAATTTATTCTCTGTGGGTCAAGCAGCATACGATAGGAAGAACACAAAGGAATGTGTGCTGCTTGTGATGTCTCTTCCCCGGGAATCAGTTTAGATGGCCAAGCTCTATCCTTAACACAATGTCTCCATCTAGCGTCACACTCGCTTGGAGATTTGGCCTCATTTTCCAAATCACATTCAATTGTGTGTTAAATCCATTGCTCAATTTTCACAATTAGGAAGGCGAAAACTATAGAGATGGATCCAAAAACATGAATTATTCTAGTTTCTCATCATTGTTAAAATCAAAATTTTACAGCTAAGCTTAGAGGCAGAAACCACCAACATTAATTCAGATATTGCATACAATTTTATATTGTTAACATATCGATTTCAGGGCTGGGAGAGGTGGCTCACACCTGTAATCCCAGCACTTTGGGAGGCTGAGGCGGGCAGATCACTTGAGGTCAGGAGTTCAAGACCAGCCAGGCCAACATGGCGAAACTCCGTCTCTACTAAAAATACAAAAAAATTAGCCAGGCATGGTGGTGCGCACCTGTAATCCCAGCTACTTGGGAGACTGAGGCAGGAGAATCACTTGAACCCGGGAGGCGGAGGTTGTAGTGAGCCCAGATCGCACCACTGCACTACAGCCTAGGCGACAGAGCAAGACTCTGAATCAAAAAAAATATATATATGTGTGTGTGTGTGTGTGTGTGTGTGTATATTTATTTATTTAGGCGGGGCACGGTGGCTCACACCTGTAATCTCTAATCCCAGAACTCGAGGCTGGTAGATCACCTGAGGTCAAGAGTTCAAAACCAGCCAGGCCAACACAGTGAAACCGCGTCTCTACTAAAAATACAAGAATTAGCTGAACATGGTGGTGCATGCCTGTAATCCCAGCTACTCGGGAGGCTGAGTCAGGAGAATCGCTTGAACCTGGGAGGTTGCAGTGAGCCAAGATCGCACCATTGCACTCCAGCCTGGGTGACACAGTGAGACTCCATCTCAAAAAATATATAGCTAGATACAGATATAGATAGATAGATCAGATAGACAGATAGATAGATAAGATAGATAGATAGATAGATAGATAGATAGATAGATAGATAGATAGATAGATTTCACAGAGTTCCAGATTAACAAAGTGACATAAAAATGTCTCCAGTAATTAAATGTATTTGCCTTTGTCTATCTTGATAATACCCCTGAGACACTCCCCTGATGCCATCTGCACCTGTCCTTGCTACTGGAGGGTACTGGGCCTGCCAACATCCAGGCCTTGGCACAAGTAGCCCAGGGCTGACAGGAAGCACCTCCATTGCCTTTGAGCAGTTACACAACAAAACTCTTGCTCATTCTACAGCCGCACCACACCCGCCTCCCTGAGCGCACGGAGCTTCCCACTGGGGCCATCCGCCGAGCTGGTGAGCTGTGCTGCACTCAGATGTGACATGGCAGAGGAAGGGAAAGAACAACATGGTCTGTGATATACAGATGAATACATCTAGTCATATAATTTAGAATGAAAATTTCAGAAAATTACTAACAACACAATTGTCTTTTCATCAAGTCAAAACCAACTACAATTCCGCAATGTATCTCTTGGGGGACACACAGAAGTATGCGTTTCACAGGCCAGGGAGCGAGAAGCAGGAGCTTCAGAAACGTCGTTGCTTCAGGCCACCAGGCAGGGGGACAGGACGCGGGAGGAGGACACGGGTGGTTGGAAGTGGGTCCGTTAGCGACCACGTTGGGTAGGTTTGCGGGTGTTTACCACCACCCATTTCAAGGAATTGGTTTTAATGAAAATGGAATGAAAGAGCTCTGGGCATGGACCAAAGCTGAGTGAGGGCTGTGAAGCAAGCACATGGACGTCCAGTTATACATGCTGGGCCACAGACTGAAGGGAGGGGGTAAAATCAAATTGTTAATCTATGTAGTCAAAGGAGCTGGTTCTCCTTGCTCTGCCTCCTTTCTTCGTAAGCTTCACATGGCTGATGCCCGGTTACTCTTCCTTCACCCAACCACCATGTCTCAAAGCAAGACTTTAGCTGAGAAGACTGACTCTGGGTTTGCAAAGGAAGTCCTGCCAACATCATCCCAGCTCCCTTCTCGCCCCGACCTCCCAGGCTCGCCTCATCACCTGGAGGATATGTCTTACTCCTAAGTCGCTTGGCTTATACTCGAACATCAGCAAAGTTGCACTGTATCTATTAGTTATTAATAATCGACTTCTAAGGCCGCCGTGGTGGCTCACACCTGTAATCCTAACACTTTGGGAGGCCGAGGTGGGCAGATCACTTGAGGTCGGGAGTTCGAGACCAGCCTGACCAACATGGAGAAACCCCGTCTCTACTGAAAATATAAAATTAGCCAGGCATGGTGGCATGCGTCTGTACTCCCAGCTATTTGGGAGGCTGAGGCAGGGGAATTGCTTGAACCTGGGAGGCGGAGGTTGTGGTGAGCTGAGATTGTGCCATTGCACTCCAGCCTGGGCAACAAGAGCAAAACTCCATCTCAAAATAATAATAATAATAATAATAATAATAGATTTCTACTAAAGTAGAAAATAATTATATGCCTCTTTCCACAGATGAGGAAAACAGTTATCAGTTTACAAAATGATTTGTAGTTTTAAAAAGTCATTGATACATTTTCTTCTAAAACCTAAATATAGTTTAATAGTATCCATATCTTTTATCTACTGTTAACCTTTAAATTGAGGCATTCATAAGTAATTTCTGTAAATTAAAATAACTATAAGCCCAAAAATATTAATATAATAGGCCTGGAGCAGGGGGAAATGCTTTTCTAAGACAAAGTTACTAAAGTGTTTCCTTTAGTTACTGAAACCGAAAGGATTTTTAAGCTGGGACCATGCCAACACAGAATGACTGACATGCGTTTATAGGTACATACCCCACCAAGCATGCTGCACCCAAGTGCTAAAAAGTTTATCCACTTGATTCTGTTTTCACAAGGATCCAGTTGTAAGAGCGCTTTGAATTTTTCCTTCGGCAGGCACAAGTTCTTCCACTTCTGCTCCAGATCTGTTAATTCCACATACTGCTTGTGGTGACACTGTTTAGAAAACACAGTATGACAATTTACGTACGTTTTAAAACCTGGGAAACACTAGAATGCTGTGAAAATTCAACATACACCGAGTAACCCGCCCCACGCAGGGGACAGATGAACTCCAAATGCATGACAGTGGGTTCTGTCAGCCCTGGGGAGGGGAGGCAGGGAAGCCAGTAAGCGGCAACCTTTTATTTCTTAAATGAAAAAAGGACTGTGAAGCGAATACAGCATCATGTTCTGACTTAATGAAACAGGCATACTGATATTGTGTATATGATACTCCACTCTCTGTCTGAAATGCTTCACAATAAAAAATAAACCTCAGTAAAAAACATTTTAAAAATCCAGCCCCTAAACACATTAACAGTTAGGAGAAATCTTAAAACTGAAAATAAATGTATTCCTTCCACTATATATTTATTTATTTATTTATTTTTGAGATAGTCTCATTCTGTTGCCCAGGCTGGAGTGCAGTAGCACAATCTTGGCTCACTGCAACCTCCACGTCCTAGGGTTAAGTAATTCTCCCGCCTCAGCCTCCCAAGTAGCTGGGATTACAGGTGCACAGCACCACACTCTGTTAAGTTTTGTATTTTTATTGGAGACAAAGTTTCACCTTGTTGGCCAGGCTGTTCTTAAACTCCTGACCTCAAGTGACCTGCCTGCCTCAGCCTCCCAAAGTACTGGGATTAAAGGCATGAGCCACCATGCCCGGCCTTCCTTCTACTATTTTAAACAATCTATCAAAACTGGTAACTTCTGCAATCTGCTAGCAGTATCTTGGATGAAAAGGCTTTGAGCAATTTCAACATGTCTTTTCCCAAGCTACACCATTCAAGAGTTCTTCATTTCCCTTAAGGTAGCCACGGAAAAGTCCTAGTTTCAGAATTCACTGTATCCTGCGCAGAAGTACAGCACTTCACAATGTAGAACGGGGTAAGTCAGTTTGAAAATCAAGGTTATGCCACTGGTGTCTCTTTTAGCAAAAGAACCGAGTCATGAGGAATGCCTAGCCTTGCTCCATTACCCACTTTCTAGTAACTCATGTCTCTAAAAACAGGATGGCGTGTGGGGCGAAGAAGTGCAAGGCAGGAAGGGGGCCCAGGCTCTCCACAGAACTGGACACCAGAGGCTGCTGCCCACCTTGGGCGCCAAAGTCCAGCCCCGCCTTCAGACAGAGAAGGCAGAGGCTTACTCAGGCCCGCACACAGCTTTCACAAATGCACACCTGGAGAACAGACTGGACACCCCCCAGGTTCTGGAATTTTGTATTTTTCGCCCAGCAGAATCTAGTGTCATGTAAATTTTGTATTTAAAAGAAATTATATTTCACTTTTCTAAAATCTACCCCGGATAGTTACTTGAGGCTGTTGAAGCTAGAAAAAGACCTCCCAAACACAACATATTTCTTCCTTGAATCAACCTTGACGATGCGTGGCAGGAAAAGCAGGACTTCAGGGACCTTGGGAGATTTGAAATACATCGCCGGGGTGGGCCTCGCTCTGTCATCAATGCACAGTGAATGGTAAGGAAAGCACAGGCCAGTTGCCTGAGGCCACAGAACCCCCCATACCTGCTTGTGCAAAATTTTCAGGAGTCCTTGAGTCAGGCCTGTGTCTGTTTTCTGGGTTGCCGTGGGCATTTCCATTCTGTCCTTTACAGGAAGTGGATCTCCTCTTGACAAAGCTGAAAAATATCTAATAAATAACAGACATCTCTGAAAGCTCATCAATACACAAAAAGCAGCTATGCGATGCAATTTCTTAAATAACCCCCCAAAACAATGGTGATTAGGAAGGACAGCTCTGAAGACCAACATCCCGGGCTTATGTCCTGGTTCCTTCACTTAGTTCTCTGACTTAACTTTCTCTGCATGCCTTAGTCTCTCTGTCGGCAGAGGGGATAATGAGAGTCCCTGTGGAGGGCCGGGGAGCACTGAGTGAGAAGGGCTTGGCGCAGTGGCTGGCACTCACAAAAGCTCCTTCAACGTGTGTTATTCTTCCCCTCCTCCCTGCCACTTCACAATCAGCTGGAGCTCCATGTATTTTTTTTTTTTTTCTAAATGTTTTGAGACAGGGTCTCACTCTGTCACCCAGGCTGGAGTGCAGTGGCATAATCATAGCTCACCGTAGCCTCGACCTCTCAAGCTCAAGGGATCCTCCCGCCTCAGCCTGCTAAGTAGCTGGGACTACAGGCACACACTACCACACCTGGCTAATCTTTTTGATGATTTCTTGTAGAGATGTGGTCTTGCTCCATTGCCCATGCTGGTCTGGAACTCCTGGCCTCAAGTGATCCTCCCAGCTTGGCCTCCCAAAGTGCTGGGATTATAGCTGTGAGCCACTGTGCCAGGCCACCTTCCCACTTTTGACAGGCGGGTTTGGTCTCGCTGCTTTTTGAGGTGATTGACTCTAAGCATCTGCATATTCAACCCTGAGGCAGCCCAGGAACACACAGGTCACCTGCCACCACACTGGGAATGGCAGGTGCTGGCCTGGCTCCCACCCGCCACCCCCCGCCCCCACTTTTCCTGCCTGGTATTTTTCCCCTTAATTGTTCCTTTCTGGGACACTGATATTGCTGCTTATGTTGGGGGCAAGAGTGGGAAACTGTTGGGGCAATAAGTCAAGAGGGAACCCACATCCAGCCTCTGGCTCGTGGTGGGAGGGGTGCCAGGCAAGACCTTCTGAGAAACTCATGCCCGTTGGTATCTTTGCCAGAGGTGGCGATGCTGAAGCCACATCATTTGGGGCCCTAAACTTTAGCATGATGAAAAGAGATAGCATATCCAGGAAAATGAACATTAAAGCATCCACCAGGGCCACAGATAACAATTTTAAAGCCATGAGTAGTTAGAAACATTGCTACAGATAAACACGGATAAGTAGATATCTGATAGACTAAAATAAACTTCATATCTCACTCTTTCTCTCTCTTTATACCCCTCAAATTTGACTTTGTTTTCTTGCTGTGTAAGACAACTTCAGCTCCGTTTTGTGGCTTTGTGAATGATTTGAAGAAAAGTTAAAATGAAGGCAGCAATGAGTTAGACAAATGTGAACCTTAAGACCTAAAGGGTACAGGTGAAGAATGGGTGCCTCGTTTTGCCACATTCCTACTAATCAACGTTTTCATCTATTTCATGGGGGTAATTCCTCATAACTCAGGCAAGGAATCCTGAGCTAGATACGGCCTCTGGAAGCCGAGTTCTCAGTGGGGGATAATGTTCCTCCTCCTTCCCCCCAGCCAAAAGGCATTTGGCAATTTCTGGAGACTCTTTTTGTTGTTGTTGTTTTTGTGGTTTTTTGTTTTTGTTTTTGTTTTTTGAGGCAGAGTCTCTCTCTGTGGCCCAGGCTGGAGTGCAGTAGCGCCATCTCAGCTCATTGCAACCTCCACCTTCCCGGTTCAAGCAATTCTCCAGCCTCAGCCTCCTGAGTAGTTGGGATTATACATGTGCACCACCAAGCCCAGCTAATTTTTTATATTGTAGTAGAGACGGGGTTTCACCATGTTGCCCCCAGGGTGGTCTCAAACTCCTTAGCTCAGTCAACCCGCCTCGGCCTCCCAAAGTGCTAGGATTACAGGTGTGAGCCACCGCGCCTGGCCTGGAGATATTTTTGATTGTCACAGCAGAGGGTGGATGGTACTCCAGGCATCCGGTGGGTGCAGGCCAGGAGGCTGCTAAGTCCCATCATGCACAGGACGCCCCTTCCTCCTGTGCCTTCCCCAACTGTCAGTAGGGCCGAGGCTGGGAGAGCCTGCTTTTGAGGCGAGACCAACTAATGTTAGCCTCTGCCAGTTCCCTTGAGGCCCACGCCAGCCAAAGCAGCCTCTGTTACTTGACTGATTCTTACGTTCATTGTCCTGTGTAAGGCACAACTGCACGATGGTATCATAAGGAACAGCCGACTCCCTCATGGTGGAGTCCACAGGCTTGGGGGAGGCTGGCTCAGCTTTGCTATCTGCCCACCTGAGAAGCTCCTTTGAAAAGAACCCTAACCTGAGGAAAGAGGAATAGCTACTTGCTTCATCTTTTTTGTTTGTTTTTTCTTTTTTAGACAGGCTCTTGCTCTGTCACCCAGGTTGGAGTAGAGTGTTGTGAACATGGCTCACCGAAGCCTCCAGCTCCTGGGCTCAAGCAATCCTCCTGCCTCAGTGTCCTGAATAGCTGGGACTACAGGCATGCACCACCACAGCCGGCTAATTTTATTTTTAGTACAGACAAGGTCTTCTCACGCTGTGCAGGCTGGTCTTGAGCTTCTGAGCTCAAGTAATCTGCCCATCTCGTCCTCCCAAAATGCAGGGATTACAGGTGTGAGCCACCATGCTCAGCCTGCTTACTTGTTCTATAGCAGTTATGTCCATGGGTATAGTGGTTTCCTGTTTTGGTTTTGATGGGTTTTCTTCTTCCTGTTTCTGCCCCCTTCTTCCTGTGCTGCTTCCTCTTCCTGGAATCCTCTCCTCCCCACCCAAGCCCCAATCTCCCTGCCTAAAAAATCTCTCAAGGACCAAGCCACTTTTTGCTTAACTTTCATGACCCTTCATTTTTGCACTTACCAAGTCCCGCCTTACTTGAGTTACTTTTGAATAGCTCTCCCTAACAGATTATGTCCTGTGACAGCTGAAACACATTTGAGCCTACAATTACATATACACTGCTGAATGAATAATGCCTGGGTTTTCTTCTAAACTCAAAAATTGTTCTTGGTCAGGTGTGGCGGCTCAAGCCTGTAATCCCACCACTATGGGAGGCCAGGAGGTCAGATCACTTGAGGTCAGGGGTTCGAGACCAGCCTGGCCAACATGGTGAAACCCCATCTCTACTAAAAATACAAAAATTAGCTGGGCGTGGTGGCACCCACCTGTAATCCCAGCTACTTGGGAGGCTAAGGCAGGAGAATTGCTTGAACCAGGAGGCAGAGGTTGCAGTGAGCTGAGATGGCAGCAGTGCACTCCAGCCTGGGCCACAGAACAAGACTGTATCTCAAAAATAAGTAAATAAATAAATGGCTCTTGAGAGAAATTAGTAGCATGGTACATTCGGAAAGTTCCTGATTCAGTCTTTATTTATTTATTTATTTATTTATTTATTTATTTATTTATTTTTATGATGGAGTCTTGCTCTATCACCCAGGCTGGAGTGCAGTGGCACGATCTTGGCTCACTGCAACCTCTGCTTCCCAGGTTCAAACAATTCTCCTGCCTCAGCCTCCCATGTAGATGGCATTACAGGTGCGTGCCAAAAGCCAAGCTAATTTTTGTATTTTCAGTAGAGACGGGGTTTCACCATGTTGGTCAGGCTGGTCTTGAACTCCTGACCTCAGGTGATTCATCAGCCTCAGCCTCCCAAACTACTGGGATTATAGGTGTGAGCCACTGTGCCCAGCCTGATTAAACCTTTTAAAGTGAAGTTTAGGCCCGGTGTAGTGGCTTATACCTATAATCCCAGCACTTTGAGAGGCCCAAGTGGGTAGATCACCCGAGGTCAGGAGTTCAAGACCAGCCTGGCCAACATGGTGAAACCCTATCTCTACTAAAAATACAAAAATTAGCTGGGTGTGGTGCCGGGTGCCTGTAATCCCAGTTACTTGGGAGGCTGAGGCAGGAGAATTGCTTGAACCCAGGAGTCAGAGGTTGCTGTGAGCCAAGATCTCACCATTGCACTCCAGCCTGGGCAACAAGAGTGAAACTCCATCTCAAAAATAAATAAACAAAGTGAAGCTTAAAATAACTACCTCTAAGGTATTACTAAATATAATTTAATGTTCCAAGAAAATGTTGCTAAATCTTGGAACTTTTTGTAGGGCACAAACTCTTATAAATCCTTTTATTTAAGCTTGAATAACGGTTAAAACCAGAGGCTATATTTCTTTAGCAAGAACTTTGAAAGAGTCTTTCAGAAACCATTGATAAAAGCGTTTCTCAGAGGGCAAGCACTGGATGGACAAGTAGCTCAGTTGGTGAGTAAAATAACAGCCCCAAAGATATCCAGGTCCAAGTCGCAGGAACCTGGGAATGTTACTTTACATGGTAACAGGGATTTTGTAGACTGATTAAGGATCTCGGGTGGGAAAATCGCCCTGGACTATCTGGATGGCCACTGAATGCAATCACCAGGGTCCTTGGAAGAGAGAGGCAGAGGGAGATTTGAAGATGCTGGCCTTGAAAATGGAGGAAGGGGAGATGAGCCAAGGAGTCTAAGGAATGCAGCTGTAGAAGCCGGAAAAGGAAAGGAAACGAGCTGGGTTTTCCTGAGAGCCACTGGAAAGAGTAAAGCCCTGCCAACACCTTGATTTTAGCCTAGTGGAACTGATTTTGGACTTCTGGCCTCCAGAACTGCAAGAATGTATGTCTGTGTTTTAAGCTGTCAAGTTTTGTGGTGATTTGTTACAGCAGCCAAAGGAAACTAATTCACCTTGGTTATAGAATTTAGAGAAAGCCAGCAAAATTTGGCTTTTTTTTTCTTTTTAAACTATTTTTCTTATAAAAAAATACAGATGGGGTCTTGCTATGTTACCCAGGCTGGTCTCAAACTCCATTGCTCAAGTGATCCTCCCAGCTTGGCCTCCCAAAGTGCTGGGATTACAGGCGTGAGCCACCAAGCCCAGTCAAAATTTGACATGTTGATGACTAAAATATTTAAATTAAATTTACACCTATGCTGACTCTTGTCATCATAAAAGTGAGTTTTTGTTTTACATCTGTTTATTGAAAAGGGGCAAAGAGTTCTCCTGTAAAACCAAGAGGATTTCTTTTAATGCCTCTAAGATCTGTTGACTTGTAACTTTGAGATTATGAATGTCTGTTCCTGGAAAGTGTTGTAATGTTTGTGGCAAAAAAAAAAAAAAAAAACAACAAAAAAAAAACTGTGAAGGTTCATTTGCTGGACAGTTTACCGGGAGCACTCTAGGGATGATGACCTCAGTATGACCACAGTCGTCCCTGTTCTAATAAATTTAACCAGCTCTGGGTACACATAGCTTTGAGAGGATTCTCTGCAGATGAGGAACTTAGCTAAAATATTCCTCTTTGTAAAATCATTTCACAAGTAAAGTGACCGCAACCATGTAAATTTTTTTAACATAATGTAGACAATTTTCTGCCCAATGCAATTGCTTTAAATTTTAGTCTATCTTCATCATAAACACTTTTAAACAACTGAGTTGCCATTACTTTGTAGGTAAGTGAGCATTTTGCAATAATTTCGGGTCTCATGGTCGATAAATCGAAATGGTTCCTAGATAGACACTCAAGTATAGATGTCACCAATGCTAAGGGGAAAGTTTTGCCTGATACTCTTATGGACGCTGAGCGCCGCGTCGGGCCCCTGGTCCGGGAGGAGGGCCCTCTGGGCTCGTCTGGCTTGGGCACGTAGACCGGACCGCTCCCCGGGCCGAGGGTGCTTACCCCGCGGACCACTGCAGCACGTCGGCCGGCTGGGTGCGGATGGCAGCCTTGGTGAACTGCTTCAGGATGTCCGGCAGCTCCGGGGGAATGTGGATCTGCTGAGCGCAGAACATGGTGTCGGGAAGCGGCATCGCTCTCCGCAGAAGGGACCAGGCTGGGGAATCGCGGCGCGCTGCGAGGAAGAAGGGCGGCTGTCGGCTAGGGCGCGGTGGAGCCGCTAGCAGCGCGGGGCTAGCGGCCAGGGTCGCCTCCCATCCCTTTCCCAAGGTTGGGGCCGGCTTCGCGGGGCTCTTACCCGCTCCTCCGCGGGCTTCGGGAGAAATGAGGACCAACTGCCCCTCCAATAACACCCCAGACCCTGCAGTTCGCCAGCGCCGGCGGCCACTACGGACGCTCTCGGTATCCAGGCAACCGAGACGCGAGCAGGCCCCGCCCCTGGCACCGCGCACGCGCAGGCGGCCCGAGCCGCCCCGGGGCGGGACGAGGAGGTGTGGCGCAGTCCGGCTCGCCGCCGCCGCTGCTCCCCAGTGGTTCAGAGCCGCGCGAGCTGAGCGTTTCACCTACAAAAGGGTCTTCGGATCGGTTTCCCACCGCCGAAAGTGAGCGGCGAACTCACGAAGGACTCCCTCTTCCCCTTGCTCTGGCTGCGTGAGGCTGAGGCGAGGGGACTCGGGCCTGCTAGGAGGGAAGCGAGTTAACTGAAGGGGCTGATCGCCTAGGCGGCACGGGCCCCACTGCGGGACGCGCCTGCGCCTGGGGCCGCTTCTCCAAACGTCTCAGGCCTCGAACTTCGCACATGCCCTTGCCTAAGCCGTGCCTTAGTGAACCTGAGTTCTTCATTTAAAAAGCCACTTAGGCAGTGGGCAGTTTCCAGCTAAAACAATATTTGTTTTCTTAAGATAGGGTGGCTGAGCCAATGTGACTGGCTCTAGGAGGAAATAAATCACATCTGTCAAAAGAGCCTTGAGTCGAAGGATAGGAGAATCCTCGAATTTGGTGGGTGCTGACCAAGGCACCATGCAAGGTGTTAACTTTGCTTTAGGGGGTGACCTGGCTGGCTGCTGCAGTTGCCGTTAACAAGCCACCGTATGGATGAGACCCCAGATCCATCTCCTCCTGCGCTCCTCAAAACAGGAAGATGGAGAACTACAGCGAGCTACTTCCAGGAGGCGCCAATGGCAAGTCCTCCCTTCAAGGAAACTGGGAAAGTTGCCCGATTTTGATCGTTTCCGTCCAAACACCCACCAGACAATATACACATACACATTTCTAAATTAACAGCATTGGCAAAAACTGAAAATATTTGTATTTAAAAGTTGATGACAGTATGAAAACACGGAATCGGCCCAGGAGCGGTGGCTCATGCCTGTAACCCCAGCACAAGATCAGGAGTTCGAGACTAGCCTGGCTAACATGGTGAAACCCCCATCTCTACAAAAATTAGCTGGGCGTGGTGGCACATGCCTGTAATCCCAGCTACTTGGGAGGCTGAGGCAGAATAGCTTGGGCCTGGGAGGCAGAGGTTGTCGTGAGCAAAGATGGCACCACTGCACTCCAGCCTGGACGACAGAGTGAGACTCTGCCCCCAATCCCCACCCCCGCCCCCAAAAAAGAAAACAATCTTATATGCTATTGAGAGGGATGTTAATTAGTACCTTTAGGGGCCAATAATTTAACACTAAAATTTTTCGATGATTGTGCAATATTTCTTCTGGGAACTTACCCTACAGAAATACTACAAAAATATAGACAAAAATATTTACCATATAAATTGGGTAACTGTCTTTTGGAAAACAAATCATGGCTTAGCTACACAATGGTATGAAAAGATGCCCGTGTAAAGTGAAAAAAAGCATCTTGTCGAACAGTCTGCATAGTATGACACGTTTATTGAGATAAATGATTCTGTGAAGGTATGTCTGGAAGCATATAACTAAAACTATTAACAGCAGTTACGTCTGGGAAATGAGACAGGGATTTCAGGTTTTATTTTGGCCATAGATACATTATTTTGATTCTAAATTCATCATTTATTTACTAACTTAGCATTACTATTGAGTACCAAATATTTGCCAGGGAATTATTCTGGGAATACAGTAATAATTCAGTTTAAAAAAATAGTATCTTTGGAGCTTACATTCAAGTGGGAAAAAACACACAAATATAAACAAGAAAGGTAAACGATATAGTATGTTTAAAAGTACAAAAGAGGGCAGGGAGTACAAAATACAGCAGGGAGATGAGACAGGAATGCCCCAGTAGCTGCAGCTTTAGATAAGCCTCAGTGAGAATGACACTTCAGGAAAGAAATGAGGAGGCTGAAGAGCCTGAATGAAGAACATTTGGGTAGGGCAAATAGTAAGTGCAAAAGCCCTACGGCCTGACCTGTTTTGGAGGCAGGCAGGACGGCAGGAGCGGGGTGAACACAAAGGAAAGGGATGCTCCATGTTTTGCCCAGCGTTGAAGGCTATTGTGGAATTCTGAGTGCCATGGTAATCTATTGGAGAGTTCTGAGGGTTGGTGTGATCTGACTTGGATCTCAAGGACATTTGGGATTCAATGTTGAAAACAAATGGAAAAAGGAAGAAAGAGCAGGGGCAGAGGCAGCAAGCTCAGGAGAAACAGCAATTAAGTAAACAATGGGTTTACTTGTTCAGTTTTGAGACTTCTTTATGTAATCTAGATGCAAGTCATTTATCAGAAATGTTTTGCAAATATTTTCTACCACTCTACAGCTTGTCTTCTTGTTCTCTTAATGGTACCTTTGAAAGAGAAGTTTTCAATTTTGATAAAGTACAATTTATTGATTTTTCCTTCATGGATTGTGCTTTTGATGTTGGATCTAAGAAATCTTTTTCTAACCCAAGGCTGAACACGTTTTCCTTGTTGTCTTCTAGAAATTATACAGTTTTGGGGAACTATAATCCATTTTGACTTTAATTTTTGCCAGTGTTAAGATATGGATCAATTTTTAATTTTGCATCTGATGCCCAATTATTCCAGCACCATTTTTTTAAGACCTTTGCACCTTTGTTAAAAATCAGTTGTCCACATACATGTTGGGTTATTTCTGGACTCTATTCTGTTCCATCAAACCAATGCACAGGAAGCAGAAGGGACCGATCCCAGAAACATATGAGTGAATGAATGGGAGTACGGGGTATGAAGCTTCTCATCTTTAGGTATGTCCTAAAGAGGAGTTACTGAACCACCAGAGAAGCAGAAAAACTCTGGCACTGTTACATATGTAAAGAAAAGTTTCAAAATGATAACTAAACAATGTAAAATGAGGCAAAAAGGGGCCTCTACGTAGTGTTTACGTATGGTTGGTTTTGGAGAAGTGTGTGACTCTGTAGAACTAGATTGCAGAAGGCTGAAAGAGTAATGGCAGGGGGACCTACACACACCAAACAGTCACTAAGGAAGTGGCTAGGCCATCTCTCCCGGGTGAACCTTTCTCCATGTTCCCCATGGCATTTTATTCACACCTCTGTAATACAATCTTTTGCTCATGTTTCTGTTCCATTCTGAGTTCCTTGAAGGGAGATGTCATACCCCATTCAACTATACTACTAAGTACAGTGCTAGAAACAAAACAGACATCAAAATAAAAACATTCAGGAGGAGGGGAACGTTACCTTCTCAGCCCCTTGATACATCAGTTCTCCTTATCACTGTATGTTTGCAACAAGAGTAGCTAAGAACTGTGGAGTGGAAGGGGGAAATTAGTGGTCAGTTTCTGAACTTCACCATGCAACTTCCTTTACTGAAAAATTTCAACTTCACAGATTAAAGATGTCTATGGTTCAAACAGCATTTCCTCTATCACCTCGGCATTTAAAGTAAAAATGCACTTGTTTGGGGGAAAACAATCATAGGAAAAATTCTGAACCTATAGACAAATAAAAATTAGAAACAGTCTGAAGCAAAAGGATCTCCTCAGGGCACTCAGAAGGAAAAAAACATCACGCAAGTCTTTCCTTTTTCTCTGGGACATATGGTCAAGCATGTACAATGGATTTGACTGGTTTTACTCGAAGCATTCAGCTAACAGAAAACCTATCTTGTAGCAGACATGCAGAAGTGGGCAGTAGCCTGCTATTGCACAAAATGTGGGGCCTTACTCTTCCCAGTGAGGATGGTCTACAATTCAAGTTAGGGAGACAGAAGGGGAGGGATGTATCCGCTGCAACTATGCGTTTAAATTTATACATAAAAGGGAGGGGCCACAGTCACATTTAACTGGAGTTATTTTTCCTTCCTATTATATTAAAACATCTGGATTATCTATACTGGCTAATAATGGATATTTCTGCAATCTTAAAGCAATCTTGCAATAATACAAAAACAAACAAAAAAACTAGACTACAACTAACATTCACTTTATTCAGTTTTGTTCTCTCAACTTAGAAGGCAACAAATGACCACATAAAAAAGGGAGCATTTCAGAATATATATACATAAAAATTGGGCTGGGTACCTAAGGTGTTTGCTTTAATAGAAAACTGACACCCCCAACTAAGTGTTCTATTTAGCTTCTACAATAGTTATTCCTAGACCTTAGTCATTACATTTTTATTTAAGGTACTATGTTACTTCCATGACTACAAAATGAGGCACTCGTACAAAACAGGAATGAAAACATACATATACTGTCTTATCTTTATGTCTTATTAATGCCAAAGATATTGTCAGGGATTATTTTAAAGAAGCCCTTACTCATGATGGCTATTTTTTAAAATGGTACAGGGCAGTAACAGGCTGAAAAGAAAACACCTGGTTGAGGGGACAAATTAAGTAAATACAAGACAGCTTAACCAAGGAAGTCAGCGAATCTCCACAAATGAGGCTTTTAATAATACTTTAGTGGTAACACATTTTAGTTGTTTTTTTTTTCTTTTTTTTTTGATGGCTGAATAATATCCTAAAGGAGTATTTTAAATGTAATCTTTTAATTTTACAATGTAGAAAACTTCTCACAGTAAGTAGAGAGCTTAGAGTACTCAACCCTGAAAATGAAAATAAGTAGCTAACTTGGAAAGTTTTAAAAAGTGCCAGTGTTCTTATGGCACTACATTCTCCTGCACATGTACGTGCGTTCACACACATTTGCAAATGCAATACAATGTAGAAATGTCCAGTGTTACTGTTTTGTTTTAAAAAGTCATCAATTCAACCTAAATTCAAGAATTACACTTTTAATAGTGGCATTTTGCCAATACAGAAATGACGTATCTTGGATCAAATCATTTGAAGGAAAGTTATTCTCTATTACTTGAATAAGGGAAAGAAAATACACAAAACAAGAATCCACAATAACAGTTACATTAAATGTTGAAATAAAAATTACTTTTTGTTTACATCTGGAATTGAAATGGCCCATCTTCATTGTTTCTCCAGAGAACTAAGAGGGGGGAAAAATCACCTAAAAACATGGGAAGTTTTTTAAGGCTAGCTATACACAAACATCACATTGGCATTTTTCTTCAGTTTTCATCTCAACTATTAGTACTAAATAGTTTAAAAATCAAACATAATTTACTAATAACGAACAACTGCACAATTCATACTATGACCATTTGATAACTGGTCATGTAAAACTAACCCCAAATGCTGATTTGTCTTCTATATATAAACAGTAAAAATAAAACGAAAAGGTATTCTTTCCTAGTTAACTTTCTTGAAGGCTGTTTTAACCCAATATAAAATGAAGCAAAATTATAGTATAATTCTTTTAAAAATTTATGTGAAGAAGGGCAGCAATACTAGCATTTTCTGAACTATGGGTTTTAAATATGTAAAAGGCTCTTGGTTAATATTAATGATAAAACCTGAATGCTACCCAAGCAAATATTATGCCGGAAAATGCTTTTTCTATGACAATACTTATCTCATTGAAAACAACAGGATAAAGTACAATAGAAAAACTAGGGGAGAATTCTTAACTAAGACAATATAAATTACCTGCCAGTGAAATGGAGGGCAATGTTTTGGCCATTCACATTGTTTGTTTACAAAACATTTGATAAGAATCATTTAAAATTCTGTAGGATTAAGAATTTTTAACCTTTTGAGGTATCTGCCTAGGATCTCTTTCGGTTAAAACAGGTATGTTCCAATGACTTTATACCAAGATCCACAAATTCTTCGAAAAACTAAAAACCAAAACAAAACAAAACCCAAAATTAATATAATCAAGTTGGCCAGGCGTGGTGGCTCACACCTGTAATCCCAGCACTTTGGGAGCCCAAGAAGGGCAGATCACTTGCAGTCAGGAGTTCCGAGACCAGCCTGGCCAACAAGGTGAAACCCCATCTCTACTAAAATAACTAAAATCAGCCAGGTGTGGTGGCGCGCACCTGTAGTACCAGCTACTTGGAAGGCTGAGGCAGGAGAATCACTTGAACCTGGGAGGCAGAGTTTGCAGTGAGCCAGGATCGTGCCACTTGCACTCCAGCCTGGGCAACAAAGTAAGACTACCTCTTGGGGGCAAAAAAAAAAAAAAAAAAAAGTTAAAAAAAAAAACTACAAATGTATCAAGTTATATGCTCAATTCAATAATAATATTTTTCTCCCAAAGAGAACAATTTAGAAATACACCATGACAGGCAGTATTATATTTTAAAATCCTCCTAATTTCTTATAGTAGGACTACATTTCTGAGTGAAGGTAGGGCTAACAAAGACCTTATTTCAAATGAGAGAACAGGCTACTCCAAAGTGCCAAAGAGTGTAACACTGAATCCTATGTCAAGCATTATTTCTAATACTGATTTTTTTATTTTCCAAATTTTGCCTAGGTAGGCCTTGAACGCACAGCCTCGCCTCCCTGTGTGCTAGGACAACCGGCCAGAGCCACCGCAGCTCCTGATACTGATGTTTTTAAAAATGTGTTTTAAAGTAACTGCTTACCACTTAGGGAAAAAATTGTTGAAGTATAAAACAGCCAGAACACATTGCTCTTTATTTTAGTAGCTTATGTTTGGCTGACTTGCATATGTTAAAAAATTCTCAGATTTTGGTCTCTGGATTTTAATACTATATGAAAATTCTTTTATAGTTCCTGAAGACCTATGCTATACACTTTCTATGAGACCTCCTAAAGTATCATTCAAAAACAAACACTACCCTTACAATATACCTTTAACATTAAACACTTAGATCATGTACCCAACCATTCTATTTTTCTAAACTTCTAATTTGAAGCTTTGGTTATGAGGGAAAACAAAGTTTGTAAGGGTTCAGTTCTCTGAGATTTTTCAGAATGTTTCCAATGAAATACATTCCTATGTTAAAAGGCCAGCTCAGCCAAGCTTCCTTCTGGAAAAATAATGAATTGGTTTTATTTGAAGTTTTATTCTGTAAACAAAAAGCTTTGGAAACTTTGGGATTTCCTGACGAAAAGCTAGGAGAAATGCACACCTAGTCCTCAGCCAATGAGGCGCACCAGCGAGACCAGATGTTCTAACCAGTCTTCTCTAATGCTGTCAATCTAAGACCACAACCACATCTACACTTCACAAGCATCTCAGAAGTCCTAAATCCAGTAAGATGCAGTACAGTTGGTGATGTCATTCTGAAAGATTTATGACCTTGCATGACTTCTGGCCACTGCTACAGAAAAGAAAGGATGTGGGGCAGGGGGGTGGGGGGTGGACTAATGAAAATCTTCATTTGGACTTTTTTTCTCTTTTCTAAGTATAGACATGCCCCTAACAAGAACTGAAACCCAACTCCCAATGCTGATCACATTAGGAATATTAAATTATCAAAATTAAAAATAATTTCCTCACCTAGCACAAGATACTATACAATATTACAAACACAGACACATGAAAAAAATCAGGCAGTAGAAAATGTACAACAGCTTTGGTGTTATACAAAATAACTTCCACAAACAACTAACAGTGAAGCATAAAGTTCATGTTTTCTTACCACAGACACTCCACTGCTGATTTCTACTTGTTTCCTTTAACGTTCTTGGTAAGGTCTGAATAGCCAAGAAAGAATGTACAGTTCCCTTAGTGAGAGCTGCTAGGACATCATGAACTGCGCTCCACAAGGCATCACTGAAAAGTCTTGCCTGTGCACTACTGCTCTGTGGCATGTTTCCTGTCGAGATCACAGCAGGTCCAAAATAAAGTGACAACTAGATTTAATAAATTAATATACATTTTGTTTAAAGATGTACAATGCACATTCTGTTTAATCCAAGGTTTTAGGGTATCAAGGAACTTGTATTTACACATATACAAATCTCAGACAGCAGTAAAGTCAGAAGATCCAGGGAAGAACAGCAGAACCTTACACCGCTGCTCTCTGAATGCTGAGAACACAAGTCAAATACATTTAACTTAAAAACAACGCTGAGAGATCACTGGGAAAAATCTCCAAAGAGAGAAGTCCACAAAAAAGGACATGTAAAGGGGAAGGTCAAGTTGTTGAGACAACTACTTTATTCTTGGGATGACTGTGGAGGTGCTGGAGATGAACCTTGTTTGCCAGATTTCCGCTCGTAGTTCACAAGTCGTTGACCCACAAGATACCTAGGTTGCAAAAACAAGGTGGTTACTCTCTTGTATGAACTTACAGAGTAAAACATTCATATGTCTTTTTAAATCTAACTCCTACTTAAAACCCGTCAATGGTTGGGCTAGTCAAAGGGAGTCCGGAGTGAACATCTGTAAAGGCCAGCACATCTAGCTAGGTACGGGTTTGTAGAGAGCTGCAGAAGCAGCAAAGGCTGGAAGGCCTCCAATGCTGTGCAGTGGAGGACATGCTTCAGTCAGTGGTTTAGGGGGTCTCAGACACTCAGACACGTGGAGGTCAGGAGGGATACAGTAAACTTATGCAGTGGATTTATCTGTTAAGGTTCAGATTTTATAAAACAACTTAGTGCACAAATCTAAGGAGACAGACTAAAAACATGACCATCAGTAAAGCTAGGAAGGGGCTGGGCGCGGTGGCTCACACCTGTAATCCCAGCACGTCGGGAGGCAGAGGTGGGTGGATCACCTGAGGTCAGGAGTTTGAGACCAGCCTGACCACCATGGTGAAACCCCATCTCTACTAAAAATACAAAATTAGCTGGGTATGGTGACACATGCCTGTAGTCCCAGCTACTAGAGAGGCTGAGACAGGAGAACTGCTTAAACCCGGGAGGTAGAGGTTGCAGTGAACTGAGATTGTGCCACTGCACTCCAGTCTGGGTGACAGAGTGTGACTCCATCTCAAAAAAAAAAAAAAAGGTAGGAAAGGACAAAAGTAAAACTAGAAGCTCTAGTTATAGAGAAGAAAGGAGAAATCAAAGGAGAGATTTCAGTGAAGTCAAAGGGAAGACAGCATGGCAGTGAGTGAGTGTAAGTGACAGGAATTGGGAGAACATGGTTCAACAACAGAATGGCAAATGTTCCTAACTTAAGTATGTGACGAAAGGAGAAGGCAATGGCAAAGGCCAACAGGGCTGCAGAAACAAGGCAGATGTCACTGTGGTTGGAGCGACAGGGCTGGAGATCCTACTCAAGGAGACAGACACCTCTAATGCCAGGGAAGGGCGACAGCTGCACTGACGCCTCACTGAAGGCCTGCCTCACTTAACGTGAGCAGATGGCTTGCAGGCTGACCCCAAGAGGACAGCAGCGACAAAGTTGGATGGCAACAAGCTGTAGGTGGCTGGGCACAAGTGTGAAGGGCACCCATTTGGAGGCAGAGATGCAGATCCAGTAAAAGCCCACAGAGTTGAGTTAAGGAGGCTGAGGGAGAGTGAAGCCTGCACATGACAGGCTGCCAGGGAGCTTTCCTTCATCCCTTTCCTCCGTTTATGGAGGAAATGAGACCAACAGTCCCATGCTGCAGCATTGTTTTAAGAAAGGGAAAGTGTATGAAGCCTGGTGACAAAGGCTCAGCATGTTTTAATAAGAGCTCACTGTTGGAACTCTTACTTTTCACCAATACCTTCTCCACCTTGACTTTCATCTATTACTTTTCTGTAAATGCGCACAAGCCTAAGGAAATATTTGGGTAGTTTATGTCCAGTAGCTTAATATGTCACTTTTTAAAAAGTATGCTAATCTTACTTACATCTTTATCCATAATGTCACTGTTTTATTCCTTTTCTTTTGTCTTACCTTCTTTTCTTGAAGTTAGCCCTTCCTTATCCCACCGTTTCCCAAACAACCAGTGTTTTTTAAAACTTTGAGGATTTTGTAAATATTTTAAACAGTGAAGGTTGAGTAATATCTACTAAAATATACATAGCACTACCCGGCACACAGTGATGACCAAATAGCAAGATGCACTAAGAATATGGGCAGCATTATAGCAATGACAAAGTAAGTAAATAAAAAGCATACAGATACCAAGTTAAATTGAACAAGTCCAAAGAGTAACTCAGTGGCAGAGAAAGGAGACTCTGAACCCAACTCCCTCTCTTCCACCACCACTCACTCCCTCATACTCAAGCCCACCACACACACACACACTCTCTCTCACATACACACTCACTCATAGCACCTCCTACAGACCAAACACTGTGCTAAAGAGTACATATACAACAGCTGACAAGACATGCCCTCACTTAAGTCTACAGTTTTCTGCATGAAGGAATAGATGGGAAAAGAGGAAAGAGGACACTGGGTTACAGGAAAAAGCAGAAGAAGATAAAGCATGAGAAATAAGAGGTCAATGGGAATAGACCCCTGGCAAAGGCTGAGAAGGGCAGAGTGCAGAAAGGCAGGCGCCCAGCATACAGAAAGAAGCAGGCAGGAAGTTCCTTCAGGGCATGTCTTGCTTGTCATTCTGTTTGCAGTATTTACTCCTCTGCCAAAAAGTTAAGTGCTAAAAAGTTGATTTTCATCATTGAAAATACCCCTTCCTCTTCTTTCAGTTGACAGTCCTTTGTACTCTGACTGGCTAAGTATACTTGTATTTTTTACTGTCAGTAAATGCTTTGGAGAAGTCTTGAACGCTATAAATTTCATTCTCAAAAATCTTACTCCTCAGAACAAATAAGGTAACTGTATAATTTGTTGTGCAAGGGGGGACAAGCACAACTAAAAGGGAGTAGTGTTAATAATGACACAAAGGCAGCAGGTATAAACTGGGACTCTCTTGGCCGACTGAGATGGATAAACAACAAACTCATTTTCTCTGCTAGAACCCAGTGAAGTAGATGATTCAGCCTACAGTTAGGACATGAAAGGTCAAATATTATCCCAGGAAGGTGTCTTCCTTGGCTTTCCTCAATCTCTCACTGAGATCAAGTGACAGAGTTTTCAATGGTTTCCTCAAAACAGAGAGTCCCACAACATTTTTGCAGTAACCCTCAAGCCTCTCTGTGCAACCTGAGAGTAACCTAGTGGCCCTGCATAAGCAAGAGGAGCTTATGCAGGGCACTGCTGGTTTCTAATGTAGGCTTCTTATTTTTATCTAAAACTATTTAATATACTGTCAGACCAAAACATTTCAAAACAGACTGAAAAACTATTTGGAATGGGTATTAAAAAATCTCTTGGCTGGGTGCAGTGGCTCACGCCTGTAATCCCAACACTTTGGGAGGTCAAGGCAGGTGCATTACGAGGTTAGGAGATCGAGACAATCCTAGCCAACATGGTGAAACCCTGTCTCTACTAAAAATACAAAAATTAGCTGAGCGTGGTGGTGCACACCTGTAATTCCAGCTCCTTGGGAGGCCGAGGCAGGAGAATTGCTTGAACCTGGGAGGCAGAGGTTGCAGTGAGCCAAGATCGCACCACTGCACTCCAGCCTGGCAACAGAGCGAGACTCGGTCTCAGAAAAAAAACCATCACCACCAAAAAAAAACCTCCCTCTCCAAAACAGTTTCTCCCAGTCTTTTCCAGCTCCGTAAGTGACAACTCCATATTCCCTGTTGTTTGGGCCAACTGAGTCCTTGATTCCACTCTCCTTCACATGTCACACTATCTGTCAGCAAACCTTGCTAATCCCACCTCCAAGTATATCCAGAATCTGAGCATGTTTCCCTCCTATGATCTGTCACATCAGACACATAAATTAAGAAGTGAAAACACCTAAACAAGAGGTGAAAAGAACACCAGACTTACTTGTCATTTTTAATATGTTCATAAAGGCGCTTAAACTGGCGGACCTGGAAGGACAAAATTGCCATCAATACCACCACCATCAGTAAAAATGGATAAATCCGCCGATGGACTAAGTTTTGCATTTCCGCAGTAACACCTAGAAAACAAAAAAGAAAAACTTTAAGTGTATGTGAAATAACAGTGACATGAAACATAAACATGTCCTTCCCCTAGGAAGAATGGACTGGGGCAGACAAGCTTTCTAAGCCCCAGGTCTGTTAACTTTCTACAATCTGTGTGGGTCATGAGCCCTTTCTGACCCCCACTTTTCTCATTTGTGAAACAAGGAGGCCAGACATGGTAGCTCACGCCTGTAATTCCAGCACTTTCAGAAGCCAAGGCGGGCGGATTGCTTGAGGTCAGGAGTTCTAGACCAGCCTGGCCAATGTGGTAAAACCCTGTCTCTACCAAAAAACACAAAAATTAGCCAGGTGTGGTGGCGTTGCACCTGTAGTCCCAGCTACTCAGGAGGCTGGGGTGGGAGAATCGCTTGAACCTGGGAGGTGGAGGTTGCAAGGAGCTGAGATCACGCCACTGCACTCCAACCTGGACAACAGAGTGAGAACTGGATGAGATGACTTCTCATGTTCCACAAGCAGTGGTGTTATTTATACATTTCAACTGCGCCACAGTTTAAAGAGGCAAAACCAAAACTGTGCTTATATAATAAAAAATATCCTCGAACTTTTAGAACACACATGTATTTATTTTTCTATATTTAACTCATGAGTTTTAATACTTCCTTAGCAGAGGGGACGGGGGGGGGCTTTAAAATCAGAGCAAGTATTTCCGAGGAAATCAGAAAATTAATACCCTCAGGTGGATTATTCCAAACACAATAGTGTGCTGTGCATAAGACTAACGTATAAGAATTACATAAAGCGTCTAAACAGGGCAAAACAGGTACTAACATTTTTCATTTGCCACTCTTTTTCCCTTCCAAAGTCTTTCCAGAAAAGCTCACAATAAAATTTTTAAAAATGAAAATACGAATGACTGGTTTGGAAATCCAAATTCTTAAGTCTATATACTATTAATGGGCAGAAAATAATATATGATAATTAGAATAAAAAAGAAAATAGGGCATTCCTAGTCTAGACAAAACCAGTAAATAGATTGTTCTAAAGAGTCAAAATAATTTAATTTTAATGACATATTCAACTAATAAGCAATGGGCTGGGCGTGGTGGCTCACGCCTGTAATCCCAGCACTTTGGGAGGCCGAGGCGGGTGGATCATCTGAGGTCAGAAGTTCAAGACCAGCCTGGCCAACATAGTGAAACCCTGTCTCTACCAAAAGACAAAAATTAGCCGGGCATGGTGGTGCATGCCTGTAGTCCCACCTACTCAAGAGACTGAGGCAGGAAAATTGCTTGAACCCAGGAGGTGGAGGTTGCAGCAAGCCGGGATTATATCACTGTACTCCAGCCTGGGCAAAAGAACGAGACTCTGTCTCTCAAAAAAACCAAAACAAACAAAAACTAATAAGCAATCGACTTTGAAATATATTTTGCATGAAATATATATTTGCATTTTAATATGGTATTTATGATACTTGGCATAGTCACAATTCAAACCAAATAAAAGCCTTGACGTTTCTACTTAGAAGGAACCAGGAAACGATGCAGTTTGCACACTGTGGGTCCTCAGCTTAACTGCTCCCTGTTTCCCATGCCACCCTGCAGATTGAGGGATACATTGCTTAGCCTCTCTTTGTATAGACAAACCTGTGTTTAGCAATTTTTTTTTTTTTTTAAGAGACAGGGTCTTGCCCTGTTGCCTGGGCTAGATTGGAGTGTCACAACCTGAGGTTAGCCCTGAACTCCTGGGTTCAAGCAATCCTCCTGCCTCAGCCTCCAGAGCAGCTGAGATTACAGGCGCGTGCCACCACTCCCAGGTAATTTATTTATTTGTTTTTTTAGAGGTTGGGTCTCGCCATGTTGCTCAGGCTGGTTTTGAATTCCTGGCCTCAAGCAACCTCCCACCTCGGCCTCCCAAGCAGCTACTGCACATGGGTAATATCTTTACTGGCTAAGAAGCAATGAGACTATAAGAAGTCAAACCAGTGGCAAAAGGTAAAGAAGGGCACACACACAAAGGGCTTCCAAGGGGCTGGAAAAGTTCTATTTCTTGACCTAGTAAGGTAACATACAAGTATACATGTTACACTGCAAGTTTGGTTGTGTGTTTTTTTAAGCTCTTCTCTCATGGTTAAAGGGAGGAGGGCGGCATTTCTGGCAGATGCATAAGACAAATGATAATGTGGAGACAGCCATGGAGATAAGAGGACATGCTGTGTTTGATAAGAGGCCATTCCATGGTTGTTTAATCAAAACTCAGAGTATATGACATGGAGTAAGGCAAGGAGTGAGGTCAAACTGAAGTCCACATCAAAGCAAAAGGAGGAGCCTTGTAAACTATGCCAAAAGGTTGGACTGTATTAAAGGCCACAGAGGAACCAATGAAAAAATGTTCACCAAAGAGGCACAGTGAGATTCATTCTTTTGAAAGGTCATTGTGCCCAATGTGGAGAAGGAATTAGTGGTGGCAGGTTTAAGGCTGGGAAACCAGATAGGAAGGTGCCAAAGTTAGGGTAGGAGAACGAATGACTCAACAGAAGTCAGAAGCAAAGGCTCCAGAGACGAGACCAGATTCTTCAGGGAAGAATGGGACACTTGGAGACCAGAGGGACATGGAGGACCGAATAAGGTGACATGGATAGCCTTCAAGGTTTCTGACTTATGCAATTTGTTGGATGATAATGTTTGTTGCTGAGAGATGGAATTCTGGAGAAGAAAAAGATTTGGAAAGGAAAAGTCTCTGCTTATAATTTTGAAAATATGCTGGGTTTAAGGAGCTATGAGGATTCTTCAGTACACAATCAATAAGACAGTGTATTTCCAAGTATAAACATGTTGCACATTAGCATCTCCTCTTTGGGTCTCCTTTTATGCCAAAGAGTATTTCTTTAAAAATTAAATATAACAACACTGTTACTTAATTTTACATGATCACAGCACTTCTAGTCAGAAGCAGACAACTTGAAGGAAATCTGATCCTGCCTATTTTGTACAGCACGTAAATTTCAAATTTTATCTTCTGGTAGAGAAACTGTATCAAAGAGCTTTATGGCCCTCTAATCTCACCCAGAGTAGTCAAATCTAAGAAAAGTAGTATTTTGAAATCATTGTTTTAGCTGGATTCATGTTTACAAATAAAGCATATGGAGTGAGCCATCCTTTTTACTAGGGGTGAAAAGAATGTCCAATGTTAGTAAAAGTGCTCCTTCAAAGTTCCACAACCAGCATTACGTACCTAGTAAAGGAACAACACCAGAAGCTATGACATAAGGTACACACAGGGAAAGCAACAGCACAGAGATCACTGGAGCTGCCAGTCTACGAACAATATAGTGAAGGTCAATGTTCCGGATGCCATTTGCATAAACCTGAAACATTATTAAAAAACAATTAGAATAAAGATACAAGACAAATTCCTCCAAGTTAATAGAGCAATCTCCACACAACTGAATCTGCCAACCCAAAAATAGTCAAACTGGTTACTTTTAAGTCAAGGCAAATTCTGGTATACCAACACAAGCACAGTGCCCAAGAGTTTCTGAGGAAATGTATTTACCCACTAACACTCTGCAATTAGCTCTGGTAAGTGATGAAATAAGACACTAATCTAGAATAATTTATACTCTACTTGCACTATACAATACCAGATGACATTCAGTGGTATTCATTCAAGACCACACTACCTGAAGTAACTTCATACACCTTATGTAAGACACATGTAATATGTAATATTGTGTTATTATACAATATTACATTCATTTTATCTGAGTATGATGAGAAAATACTGAAGCAGGAAACATTTCTGAAAAGCTTGCATAAATCAAATTTTAACAAATCAAAAGGTATTTAAAAATTTAGTATGAAAGAATTATATAGTGAATATAAAAAAAGGAAGTCCAAGAATTGCTAGAACATTTCCATCATCTTATCCAGAAAACTCTACAGGAGTATTGCAGAGGAAAGAATGGATGGAAATGGGAAAACCTTGGGAACAGAAAATTTAGATGGCGTGCAGACAGAAACAAGGCAGAAGGCTGTTATTTTCTTCTCCTCTTGCCTCCTCAGCAGCACTTAAACCTCTCTTAGCTGTGACTGAATGTAGCATAACTCAAACCCATCACCTCAGAATTTGAATGGCAAACATGCTTAACCTTTTAAAGGCATGCTTCCATTCCCAAAGACACCTAGTTAACCCAAATGCATTTTAATCAATGAAGCAAAGCATCCCAGTGTTTCTCAACCATTCCCAACCATTTTACTTAAATTTATACAGACACACACACACACGCAAGAGAAAACAATAACAGAACAAATTATTTAGAGGATCAATGATGTTCCACAGCCTCCAGTATGAATAAACCTTATCTCCACACTCCTTTTTCAAGGGCCAGAGTCTAACCTGGCCACTCTAGAGTGTACTGGCCTGCACTCTGATCCTGAAGGGATATGAAGCCAGAAGCCCCCAATCCATCACACTGCTGGTGGACTTCAGAATTAGCCCATACTTTAGACACACACACAAACACACTGCAATTTGCTGGCTCCCCAACCCCCCACTCCTAAGAATCAAAATCTTGAAATATAGGTACTTTTTGAACAGATTTTCTTGAGCATGCTTGGCTAACTACTGTCTATACTTCTCATACATCAAAAAGAGGTGTACTTTACTGTTACAGAACTGTCATGTCTTATTTATGTGGCACTGGCCTAAGGATAAGAGGGGTCCCAACAAGTACATCTGCTAGATAACTAAAGCGTAAAGAAGTAGCAAAATCTGTTATGTTGGCCATTTTGGATAGAAATTTTCCTTAAAAGAAGTACCATACTCCTAGTCTTATTATCGGAGTGCTAAAGCACAGTCTATCTTTTCCAAAGTATTGCCACAACAATCAAATTATCTGGCAGTTCTGTAACACAATAACAGTCTTAGGCACTATGTAGCTAGATCAAGCCAAAACAGCTCTCCTTTTGTAATCTGTTTTTTCCTCTGCCTTTACCACCTCGAGCAATAACCTTTTCCCCACTCCAAAATCTACTATAGGCTTAGATACATTCATATCAAACTTCACCAGAAAAAAAGCACGTATTTTCATTCTGTCTCCACTACGAACAGGGTTCTAGATACTGTAAGCTACTGGTTAACCTTCAGATAAAGGATGTTTCTTAAACGTGGTTGATGAAAATTCATGGGAATATAGAAGACCACAATATGTCACCCTAAAAATATGTCTCTTTGGCATAGGGATTGTTTTGAGCTGAATGCAACTGAGAAAGGTAGATGTAGGAAAACTTTCTGTCCTCCCTCTATTGCCTAGAAGCAGAATATAAACGTATAAAGACAAAAGGTAGCCCACCCTACCTGCCTCCACCAGGGAGGACAAAGATTGCCCACTGAAGAGAGTTTTGGGCCTCTCTGGGCCTCTAGATGGCACCAGAGGAATCTACACTGCCAAGCTTTACTAAGGAGCAGCATCTAGCCACCCCTAGAAAGTCAAAGTTCTTTTCATCTTGTCACTTCTCTAAAAATTTATTATTCTTTGTTGAAGATCAGCTGGAATTCAAAGCCACCTCTTTGAAATTACTCATTCCCTGGGTATCTCCATGTATATATGAAATACGTACTTTAATAAACTTTTGTTTTTCTGTTCTTAGTCTTTTATTAAAGGGTTCCATTTTAACTTAAAAAAAAAAAAAAAGGTTGAGAAAAAAATTATTTTTCCTCCCCTACAGTGGTAAAACTAAACTGCCGTCTTAAAAAAAAAAAAAAAAAAAAAAAAAATTATATATGCCCATCAAACAAAATGTAGAAAACTCATCAAGTAAGAAAGATAAAAGAGTTATAGCCGCCAAACATAAACACAACCAATTCCAGAATGTCTTTCTCTGAAAACTGATCTTGCTTACCTGTTCAATTACAGTTTTCAGCCACCACTGAGGACCCATCAATGTTATAGCTGCAATGATTTTGGCATGCAGGACTCCAAGTGCCCAGTCCTAGGGAATTAAAAACCATTTAACAGATTTCTGTTGTTTTTTAACAATAAACACAGCAGAAAGGCTGTATAATTTTCTTACATTATTTCACATCAAAATAGAAGTTCTACAGGACTGGCAACAGTTTTACAAAAGACTAACATGTACTGAAAACCCAGAGAATTCTTTTTCTTCAACAGCTCAAATTCAGTGTTTCCACCAAAAATCATTCTTCTATCTTTTAAAAATCTATATTGTTTTCCCAAAAGTTAGAAATTCTAAGTCTGGACACTAATGGAGATCTCAAAAGCAAATAAAATAAATGCCAAGATTTTATTTCAAACCATCTTTAGGCTATTTCATTGGTTTCAACTGAGCTTATTTATGTCAAATCAAGACTGTGGAGCCAAGTTTGGCCTAAGAAACCATTTTGAAGGCTCACAGATAGCTTCTAGTTTGAAGCATTTGTGGTTCTACCGGGGAACTGTTACTAGGTTACTCCTCATGGTGCAATGGACTCTTGGCCTGCCTACCCTTCAACTCTCCACCGGCAGTCAGAGTGATGACTACCTCCTCCCTCCCCACAGCCCCCATCACCACCACCACCAAGTATCTCTTTAAATGCAAATCAGATCATGAATGTAACTTCCCTGCTTAACAACCCTAAAGTCCTTAGCAAGACACACAAAACCCTTTACAACCTGGTCTCTATCTAACTTAAATATATATATGTATATCTATCTATATATATATATTTTAAAAGAAACCCCATGTAACATTTAGACTGATTCTTACATAAAACCAAAATCTTTACAGAGAAGACTGGAGTATTCTGTGACCACTACCTTAAATCCTGATCCCTCCCCAGCAATAACTACTATTAGCTTTTGGTACATACCATCCACATTTTTTCCCATGCATTCAGCTGCACCTATACATCTATATCCCATAGAAAATATGTAGTATCATTTTTTATATGGACTTTGCTCAGATTGTTAATTCTCCTCTTCACTATCTACCATCTTGAGGCCAATGTTCCCATTTCTTTACTGGTTTGATTGGTTAGTCTTCTAAGGATCTTCTTCAAATGGGGTGAGAGGTTGATACACACACTGAATTCTTGAATACCCTCAAATATCAATCTTCATCCTGATAGCTGAACAGTTATATTATTTTTTGTCTGGGTAGAGGAAGCTTGGGTTTTGTCCCTTTTATCTCAGTCATCTATAAATTCTCTGATAACTTACGGTTTTCAGTACTATAGAAAAGAAGTCCAATGAAGTACAGTTTTTTTGAAGCTTGTATATGATTTCCCCGTGTCTAACAAGATATACCTAAATATGTGTTTTTATCTTGGATCTCAATCTTACCAAATCTGATGAGCCCTTTCAACCTACAGAATCAGATCTTTCTACAATTCAGTTAAATTTTCTCCTATTTTTGTATCAATGCTGCGTCACATTTCCTCCTTCTGGAACCCCCATTATCACTACACTAAGTCTCCTAGATATTTCCTCCAAAACACTCCTCTTTCTCAATTTCCTCTTCCATTTTGCTCAGTGCTTTGCATTCATCTTCCATGCCTCCAAGCCAAGCCCAGTGGTGACTGTCTGCATCTTTTTTCACTACTAGATTTGTCTGAAATCTATGCCATACAGCTCCACAACAACTGCATTCTGCTTTAGAGCTGCTGTTTGTGTGTGCGTGTGAACATACTGCACTCAGCGTCCTGTGTGTTTGCTCTTCTCTCTGGAAGCTCATGGCTCTGCCAGCAGTTCTCTGTCAAACTGGCATGCGTTCTGACTGCTCTGCCTTAACTGCCTTTCTGTGGCTGCTGAACCTCCTGCATATAAAGCACTTGTTACAATTTCCTTTGCAGCTTCAAGGAGGCTTGGGCCTGGTTCAGAATATCCTAAAGGGCTTCAAAAGGATCTTTTACCTCTTCAGACCTTTGGGATAGCGTCCAACAATCTCCTCCTGAGGAACATGAAGAAAGCCTCCCTGCTTTTTCTCACAGGCAGGGAAGATGCAACAACCCACCAATTCAGCTTTCTGTTGGCCTTTTGGGAGTCCAGCAGACACCCAAATGAGATTAATGTTTACCCGAGGAGGTCCAAGATCACTGTGATTCATGTTCTCTAAAAACCCACTGCTTTGCCGTCCCTTCCTGTCAGACAGGACACGACACACTAGCTGCTCTGCTAGAATTCCAAGTGGCCCACTATCCCACAGGGCTGCAGCCACTTGCTGCAGGAAAGGCAAGTAGCTTAAAGTCATGAATGAAGAAAAAGCAAGCTGTTCCTTCAAAAACTTGGGGGTTTAATGCAAAACATTAAGGATAGCACGCTGCACATTATCTGTCTACAGCTTGTGCTTTCCCCCAACCCAGAAACATGTCTGGGAGCTATCGATGTCAAAACAAGTATCTCCACTTCATTTTTTCAATTGCTGCACTGATAGTCCACATTTTATTTGGGCATTCTCTATTGGTGGACATCTGGATCATTTCTCATTTTTTGCTATAAAAAATGATGTATTTGCAGAAACAGCCTTGCTCACGCCTCCTGTATACATGCAGTAGATTCTGAAAAGCCAAATTGCTGAGTCATAATATATAAGCATTTTTAAACTTTGATAGTACCAAAGAATTCTCTAAGGTGATGATGATTTCACAGGTAATGCTGAGTACCGTAAAGACCACCAAAAATACAAGCATTACTACAACAACTTGCATGTATTACTCATTGCAGCAAGGGAGTAACACAGCATGGAGAACTTGGGGCCCCTCAGTAACAGTGCTAGAAAGGGGTTATTATAGGATTTCAGCTTGTGTTAGCGATTTGGGGGAGGATTTAAGGAAGAAGGAATTTGGTATCGGATGCTATTAGAAAGCAGAGTAATCTGTGAATGGTTATCTTAATAAATCTTATCTAGAAAAAGTGGCAGAAGCTAAAACTGTAATTGGTAATGAAGCAGTAACCAATCATGTTAGCCAGTAAAGGGGAATGTTTGGTCATTTCTGTGGCTTGAATAATGCTCACGTTCTGTCTGTGTTCAGACATGACCGCAGAGGGCCTTGCTTTTGTCTTCCTCTATCTTGATCATAGAGTGATGGTGTATGACGTTGATGTTCTGTCAAATTGTTTATGTCCAACAGGAGAACACCAAGGCCTGGCTAACAATGCCAAGATGGCTCCTTGATGTCACAGGATGCTTTGGCCTTTTTCAGGGCTCATGCCGTGTAACATTAAAAGGCAGATAGTATCTGTTTGTCTCACTTGCAGCAGCACTGTGCTTGATCATTGACTGGGTTAGGGTATTGTCAGCCTGACCCCTCCACTAGTTGTTTCCCTTTGAGCCATCAAGTAATCCATAAGGTGACACTTTGCCACTATGCAAATAACCACTTTCACACTACAATATAACATACCTGCAAATTCTTTTCCCATCATGTGGTAGGGGGTCTATGTCCTCTTCCCTTGAATCTTAGCCAACATTTGTTACTTGTTTATACCCAGTAAAATTTACTGAAAAGTGATGATGTAGACCTTCTGACAGGGGGTCATAAAAGATGATGCAGCTTCTTGTTTGTGGGGACACTCATTTCCCTGAACTACAACATAAGAAGCCCAAATACCTTGAGGTTACATAGCTATGAAGAAGCCCAGGCACATACAGGAGCTCCAGTCAACAGCCCCAGATGGGTAGCAACTAACAACAAGCATCAACTCTCGTATTGTTCAGTGATCACTGACTGGGTTAGGGTATTGTCAACCTGATCCCTCCACTAGTTGTGTTTCCAGCCAAATGATTCCAGCTATAACAGTCAAATCATTCCCGGCCATTGAATCTTCCCAGTTAAGGCTCCAGATAGCACAGAGCAGAGACAAACTGATATGCTCTGTCTTAATATCTGACCCATAAACTCTATGGACAAAATTAAAATGGTTGTTTTAAGCCACAAAGTTGTGGAATAACTTGTTACACAGCAATAGCAATTGAAGACCGATCAACCTTTCATCTGTTGGATTCAACATCCACTAACAATCCTTGCTATTATCAATTATCTTGTTTGGTATTGCAAAATAGTATTTTTCTAATCACGTTAATCTACCTTTATTTGCTGGCATTTTTCTGTTAAAAAAAAAAAAAAAGGTAGCTCTTTCCTTCAATTACAGATACTATTTGACTACTCTGGAATACAGCTCTTACAGAAAGGCATAACATATGCTTAATTAGAGCCTCCTCAACTTACAATGATGTTAGGTCCAGACAAACCCATCTTAAATTGAAAACACCTAAGTCAAAAATGCATTTAATACATCTAACCTACCGAACATCATAGCTTAGCCCAGCCTATCATAATGCGCTCGGAACATTTACATTAGCCTGCATTTGGGCAAAAGCTTCTAACACAAAACCTATTTTATTTTTTGCCTTGTAGTAAAACTGAGGCCTAACAAAGCCTATTTTATAATTATGTAGTGAATATCTCATGCAATTTACTGAATACTGTACTGAAAGTGAAAAACAGGATAGCTGTAGGAGTACTCAAAGTACAGTTTCTACTGAATGTGTATCGCTTTCAACGATCAAAAAGTTAAAAAGTCATAAATCAAAACACAAGTCAATTCTGTACTTCTTTGTATTACTTATTTCTTGTCTATTCTAGTCTATGAGACAGACTAGAAAGGAGGCAGTTCCCCACATATGCATGCTTTGTCTCACACCAGGTCTGCCCAGCATCTCCCTCCTGGAATATACTTCTTCCTTTCTTACCCACTTCTCTGTTCTCTACTAGTCAGGTTGGCTTAGATACTATCTCTTACAGAAAACCATACCTGAAACTCCCAAAGTCAGGTTAAATGCCTCTCCTACACAATGCCACAGTTCCTTGTGCTTTCCCTAATCACACCACACAACACCTGTGTACCTGTCTGGCTTTCCCATCAGAGTGTAAATTCCTCAGGAAAATTCCTGCACTAGCCTCATTTTCACCTGGGTGATACAATCCAGGGTGTAGGTACACATTAAAAGCACTTAAATAAAAATTTTCTGGTAAATGAAGTTTGTGGAGCTTCTCCATCTGGAAAGCAGAGAAAGGGAAATATGGCCCAAATAATTTTCATTTTCTGAAAAATCCATTGCAATACACTAAGAGATAAAAACAAAGCTAAAAAGCCTTTGAATGACTGAAGTCAATACCTAGCTCTCTTCCCCCAATACCTACTAAGAACTTGAGATCTTAATTCAATGATGTTAAAAACCTCAGGCTCTAAATACAATAGAAAAGTTCCATTTCTTTTTCCATGAGCTTTAAGACCTTTGCTGTGACTTACATGGGTTCCCTCAGGATGCTTTTTTTTTTTTTTTAGAGACAGGGTCTCACTCTGTCACCCAGGCTGGAGTGCAGTAGCATGATCTCAGCTCACCGCAACCGTGGCCTCCCAAGCTCAAGCGATCCTCCCACCTCAGCCTCTCGAGTAGCTGGGACCACATGCCCACACCACCACGCTTGGCTAATTTTTTGTATTTTTGGTAAAGATGGGATTTCACCATGTTGTCCAGGCTAGTTTTGAACTCCTGAGCTCAGGTGATCCACCTGCCTTGGCCTCCCAAAGTGCTGGGATTATAGGCATAAGCCACAGCACTCAGCCAGGATACTCTTTTTAATGAATCTGTGACTTTGTGGGAAAACATGCTACAATAATTCAAAAGTATTAAAGCCTCCAAGTCAAAAGGAATAAGACAATTTAACCTATCTCAAAGGTGAACAAAAATCAATGACTATTAGTTTGTATTTTCAAATATTAGAGAAAACTAAATGGTTAGTAACATTTTAACCTATAAGGTAAGCACTTTTAAAGGAGTTATAAGAACTGCACATTCTGAAACAAAAGATCGATTAAAGAGCATTACTTAAACAATTTTATAAGAGTTCTTAGAATTAAATATCATAATTAAATATTTAAAAAATTAAATAATTAAAAAAATTTTGGTTTCCTTTTTTTTTATTTTGAGACGGACGCTCACTCTGTTGCCCAGGCTACAGTGCAGTGGCATGAGCACAGCTCACTTCAGCCTCAACCTCCCAGGCTCAAGCAATCCTCCCACCTTTGCCTCCCAAGAAGCTGGGACAAGACGCATGAGCCAATTTTTTATAGAGACTAGGTCTGGCCATCCTGCCCAGGCTAGTCTCGAACTCCTGGGTGCATGCAGTCCTCCCACCTTGGCCTCCCAAAGTGCTAGGATTACAGGCGTGAGCCACATGCCTGGCTTGGATTATTTTCTGATCCCAAATCCTTAATGAAATAACATGAACAAAAGACATACATTTACCTGCCATGGATAAAAAAGAGGAGTCTGATCCAAGGGAACCCTCAGGGGAGCAACAATGACCAGCTCAAACAGGAGCCCCAGAAGGAGAGGGACAACTCCAGCCAACAGCACCGCAACTATCAAAGTCTTCATGATCTATCAGGAAACAGGAGACCATATCATTGAAGAGGATCTTTCTGACTGAGCCAAACTCTATTTCCATTTTGAGGTTTGAGACTGATGCCTAGCAGAGCAACCACAGTCATCTCTCAGTATCCACAGGGACTGGTTTTAGGACCCAGAAAATCTGCAGGTGCTCAAGTCTCTTACATAGAAAGCACACAGGTGGCTGGGCTGTTTTTTCTCACAATCCAATTCTCAGGACTAGGTTTCCGTTTGCTCAAGAAAAGCCACCGACTGGCCAGGGCCCCTGCTCCAACAGTGGCCCACCCATACACAGGCTGATCTGTGAACCTTGAGGTGGACTGGTATACAGGAAGGGCTCTGCACAATCCTAAGTTAATGAATGAAGCTGATCAAACTGGCTCCCTCAAAGGACAACATGGTCCAGTGGAACTTACCATACTGATAGAAATGTCCTGTATCTGCCAAATATGGTAGCCATTTAGCCACATGACTAATACACCAGACAGTGCAGCTCTAGCAACTGGACTAAATGGCAAAATGAAAACAAAGCTGACACAGACAGGAGACATTACAAAAGAGTAATGATGAAATTTTGACCAAATAAAATGATTTAAAGTGGCCTTGGATCCTGATGACCTCTCTTTTACTTCAGGTGGCCTCAGAAAATACACCTGTTTCAACAAGAGACTAAATATAATGTGTGTGGAAGACAAAGTACTTGTTTCTCTACACGGCACTTTCTAATAATATGGAAGACTATCAAATGAAAACTGGAATTAGTTGGATTCTGTATTTTAAATACGGTTAAGTGTCTAATTATCTTATGGATTAAATAGCAATTAAACCCCTCCATAATATATAATGAATCTCTCACTATAAAAATGGATTTTATATTTTTCTTCAACATTAATATTAAATGGATATTAAACTTCTAATGAAATCAAAATCAAAATATAAATTGATACAAAATTAGAGTTGATTACACAAATGAAAAGGTGTAAGCAGTAACCTAAAGATAATTACCAGCTGCAGCCAACATTACACAGGTACAGACATACATCACCGCACTCAGATAATCATCTTAGTTATTTTTTTTTAATCCTACATTTGTGGCAGTCAAATGTGTTACTGAGAGCAATAATGTTACGAAGTGTCCAGTAAGGCCCTTAAGTAAGTAATATAAGCCTGTGTGGGTGTGTGCATGTCCGAGTATAAAGAAAAACATGCTACTAAGTGATCCAGTAAAAATATGTTATATACATATACTTTTTAAAATATAGATGGGGTCTTGCTTTGTTGCCCAGGCTGGTCTCAAACTCCTGGGCTCAAGCAATCCTCCCGCCTTAGCTTCCCAAAGTACTGGGATTACAGGCACAAGCCACTGTGCCCGGTCTGTTTTTCTTTTAAACCTCAAATACATCTGAATGTAGGACTCTGAACAGGAATGAACCAGAAAGCCACTATCTTAAAAGAATATTCCTTCTAATTCAAAAAATAACTCTCTTGAAACAATATAGTAAGGAAATAAATGTGCCCCCAAAAAAAAAATTTAAGATGACTGGAAAAATATTCACTATTCCTAACAGACAAGATCAGTCTTTTATTACAAACACATACCATGAGAGACCACTCTTTAACCTTCTGGAAGATCACTCTGCGTCCCTGAGGCATCCATGCCACCATCACCGTCACAGCCCTTATGGTTAGCCAGCAAACATAGAGACCACAAGCAGCTGTGTAGAGCTCATGGATTTTGGCAGTCCCCGTCCAAAATGACATTAACCAACGGCCAGCAAATACTGAAAATAGAAAAGCTGATAAATGAGACATGTGGCTAGGTAAAGAGAATTGTAATCTTCATGTTGTTCTGTTAGTATTTTCACATTAGGAAAAAGATATCACATTCGATATATCAATGTCTTCATCAAAAAACAAAAGACAAAAACCACAATGTCTAAAGAATGCACGATTTCATGAAATCACAACCAAAACTAGGTTAAGTTCAATGGAGGTGAGCTCTACTGGGGCACACTCTGCTTTGTCATGCCAATTACTTGTTCTTTTAGGTATAAAAAAGCTTTTGAGGGAATTAATGTTTTCATTGTTTTTATCACCAAATGAAACTGTTACGCAGATAATAGGACAAAAGTGGGGAATTACTTTCAATATTTAGAAACATTACAAATAATTTAGAGTAACTTTCTTCCAATTGGCTCATTCATCAAGACAGAAAACTAAGCTTATTTTAATGAGTGGGCACAATAACATTTTAAAGCACAATAATCAAAGAATACCGTATTAATTTTCTTAGAAAAAGTTAAGACTATCTGAATATACTGGAATATGAAAAATGGATTTGAGAGTAGTCTAAGGGAGCACCTCATACAAAAAGTTGTTCGGAATAAACTCTACAGCGTCCCACAACGATCACTTGGGTAAGATCATTTACATAATTCAGTAACTTACTTTACGTGATTACTTCTCAATAGGCTAGAGAGAACAGCAAGACCCAAATTTCCAGTGTATTTTTTCCTACAGATTGTCTTCCTAATATGGTACTCTAATTTTTGAATTCCTAAATGGAGCTATAGACCTAGCTGAGGCGGAAGGATTGCTTGAGCCCAGTAGTTCAAGGTTGCCATAAGCTATGATCACACTACTACCCTCCAGACTGGGGAACAGAGCAAGACTCTGTCAAATAGCTAAATAAATAACCTTAATGATGCTATTAGCTGAAGGCTAGCACAAGCTCATACCTGGTAAAGTAAGGCAGATGAGGCTGGCAATCAGTAATGTTATACACATAAAGACAATCAACAGAAATATCTGCAAGGTAAAACAAAAAGAGTGCATAAATAGGGAACATGAGTTCAATGTATTTTATCAAAGAATCAACACAATCTTCCCATTAAAAAGAAAATGTCTATATTTGTGTTGCCAGGTTTCCTGCAATTTCACATAAAATTTGTATTTTCAGTAAAATTACCTATGATTTACGCCTAAATGAAAATAAGTATCCATTCTCACATAATCAGATACATCCCACAAGTAAATGGCAAATATATGTTTTAATCAGAGAACATTTTAATTCAGCTTAAATTTTCCCATTATTAAAATAAAACATTACAAATTAAAAACATTCACCTTTTAATCAAATAACAGTGCTATCCAATTAGAACATTCTATGATGACAGAAATGTCTAGATCTGCACTGCTCAATGCAGTAGCCACTAGGCCACATGTGGCTACTGAGCATTTGATATAGTGTAAATGAGTAATGAAATGTTTAACTTTATTTAATTTTAATTAAATCAAAATGTAAATAGCCATATAAACCGGTGCTTCTGTACTGAGAAGTTGATACGGTGTGACTGTGTCCCCACTCAAATCTCACCCTGAACTGTAATAAGGTGTCAAGGGAAGGGCCAGATGGAGATAACGGAATCATGGGGCAGTTTCCCCCATACTGTTCCCATGGTAGTGAATAAGTCTCACCAGATCTGATGGTTTTATAAATGGGAGTCCCACTGCACAAGCTCTCTTGCCTGCTGCCATGTAAGACATGACTTTGCTCATCATTCACCTTCCGCCATGATTGTGAGGCCTCCCCAGCCATGTGAACGCTATGAGTCAATTAAACCTCATTCCTTTATAAATTACCTAGTCTCAGGTATTTATTAGCAGTGTGAAAACAGACTAAGACAGAAGTGCAGATAAAAAGTGATCACACAGAGAGGAGGAAACCAGCTTCCCTGAGCAGAAAGGCAGCAACTGTGGTTTGCCTGCTAGCTTACCAGGTTCATCTCCACAAGACCAGAGGGCAGAGCTCTGATGGGAAGCCTGAAAAGGACAGATGACAAAACCCACGAGACTCCGAGGCTTTGCCTGAAAAGTCATTTATTGATACTGTCTCTGATCTGGCCAGAAAGTAACTGTTGCTCAGAAGGCCTTTTTTTTTTTGTCTCTGGAGAGGCGAGAGAGCTGAGTAAAGACCAAGGGGAAAAAAAAGGGAGCTGACTATGAGGTCTGCTATTAAGAGATAAAGGAAAAGATGACCTTCATGCTTTCCTCAGGGTTATGCAGCAAAGTCCTCTAGAATAAGCCACAGAATCAGGAAGAGATACACCCCTCAAGGGGACAAAGGAGTAGAACAACAATTCAGTGAGTGTGGACTCGTGCAGAGGGTGCTCAAGGTGCTCCATTATCTGGTTCCTCCCACCACTCCTCTTGTCCCTCACCTCTTCCCGACCTTATCCCTCACCATTCCCGTGGCCCCTCATCTCTCCCCTTGTTCCTCACCTTTCCTGGACATACACCTCACCCTCTAAATATATTCAATTAGGCCAGGTGCAGTGGCTTACACCTGTAATACAGCACTTTGGGAGGCCAAGGCAGGCAGACTGCTTTAACTAGGAGTTTGAGAACAGCCTGGGCTACAGAGCAAAACCCTGTTTCAATAAAAAATATAAAAATTAGCCAGGTGTAGTGGCATGTACCTGTGGTCCCAGCTAACTGGACAGTTGAGTAGGTAGGAGGATCACTTGAACCCAGGAGGCTAAGGCTACAGTGAGCTGTGATCGCAACACTGCACCCCAGCCTGGGCAACAGAGCAAGACCCTGTCTCAAAAACAAAACAACACAACTCCCTTATCTGCAATTCCAAGCGCACCATGCCTAATGTGCCCTAGTCCTGACATATTTCTGGAATGTCCTTCCCACTTCCTTTTTTTCACTCTCTGCCAGGTCTCTCAATGTTTAAGACAGTTCAGGCACCACCTATTCTAGGAAGATTCCTTTGGGCCCATATTAAGAACAAGTGGTTCTTGATTGAAGGAGTCACAGCACCCACTGTAAACATCCAGCATGAGAACCCAAATCTGCCACTGCCTTTCTCATCTCTGAGTAGACTGTAAGCTCTTTCTGAGCAAAGACCACGTATGCTCTCTATATCCTCACAGACACTGAAAATATCAATCATAGACACTTAAGACATGTTTGCTGAATGACTGAACACATGACCTACAGTAATATACAAAGGTATAATAATGACTATTTTTAGAAAAAAAGAAATGTGAGGCTGAGAGGTTAAATAACCTGCCCACGTTTTAAAATGATCAGACTCACAAGTCCATCTCATTATTAAAGGGCATTTTAAAATAACAGACTTGATATAAATGAAGGATGACTTCACTGTAATCATAGAGCAGTCATCAGCTTACATTTCTGACAACATTCTGAGTTGCACAAAGATTGATCACTTGCTAGTTTAAAGAACATGGAATAGGCACATTCTTAACCAATACTGCCTTCAGTTTCCTCAGCTATAAACATGAAATTATCGCCTATACTTTACAGTATTTGAGTGGAGATTAAATGAGAGAACATCAAAATGCCCATTCTAGTTCCTGACACATTGTTGAAATGTATCAATAACATTAGTTTCTTAATTACTGTAGAGTCTTTTCCTCTTAAATAGGGAGCAAGAGCCGAGGGAATCCCAACTCTGTGACTCATCTCTGAAATTTGATAAACTTACCTGACCATTTACGTTAGATAATGAGGGTAATAAAATGTGGAACATGTCTATACAGAGGACTGCATGCTAACAGCACCAATTCTCAACAGCAATTTGAAAAACAAAAAAACAAAAAACCTCTATATGTGATTAAGTCTGTACAGTACCTACCCTGAGTGGAAAATTTAAAGGTCGGCGGTAAGGCTGAAAACCAACTGGCCCTCCCTGCTGGAGTATGGCTTGGTGGGCTGCATGAAGGCCTTCCCCCACCACAGGAATAGCATTGTTATTTCGAGCATGCTGATTATTGTTGACTTGTTGATTTGCACTGTTTTCATTTTCTTCCTGGTCTCCCAATAAATAAGAATGAAGATCCCTGTGCAAAAATTACATCAGTAACAAGTCTCACTTCAGGTCACAATAAAATGGCAGACATGACACTCATTTTCTTCATATATACTACTAAGGGCAGAAAATGTACAATACAGAATTTATACACATTATTACCTCATTTTGGTCTAAATGTTCGTACCTGCTTTAAATTAAACCTTTCTAAATTTAATGTTAATTAACTTGTAGAATACCCCATAAGTTCAACCTATTTTATGTTTTCTTCAGCCAGTATCTGAGAAGAAATCAACAACTGAAAGAAAAAAGTACAATGTACAAGATACTTACAAGTACACTTGTAAGTACAAAATGTAAGTACTTACAAGCACAAGGTGTAAGTACATACTTACAATGTACAATATATTGTTAAGGATCTACAGGAGGAAAAGAAAAACTTCTTATCTTCTCTACCGATGACTACTGCAACATGTAGCTACAAGCTATAAATTTGTAAAACCTCCAAGCTATACATCAGCTAAGTCAAAACTGAGACTAGGGGAGGAACCAGTTAGAGAAGGACAGATGTTCAAGCAAATATAACCAGATCTGTACTTCATCTTTAAGATACCTACAAGATGCCAAACTGAAAAATTTTTAAAGATTCAACTTTTAAATAAATATAGAGTATATAAAGCTTGAAAAAAGAAAACAATGCAATATGTTCACTAAAAGATTGAGAAATCAAATCTGAGAAGAACCCATTTACCAGGTTATGAGCACTAAACAAAGGTAAGTTAGTTGGTCTAAATAAAGGTAAACTGGTTTGTTTTTAATGCACTTAAAAAAAAGACATTTACTCCATGAAAGCTGGACCAGCAGCAAACTTCTATAAGAGGGCAAAAATAATGCATATATTCTCCATGAAAAGATGGACAATGATAAAAAAAATTTTTTTTATTTAGAAGTATCATATGCACTTGCAAGTATTACTAAATTGTCTTTTATTAAAACTAATTTTTCTACATACTTTTTCCAGAAAGGTTATTCAATAGTCACAAATGACATGCACGTCCAAGAAGTCAACTGCTCATACTCACAGCAAGTATCCGGCGGTCACAGTCCACGCTCGCACCAGCCCCTTCAGCCACTGCCTCGTGTGTCCCTGTTCAAGTAATGCTGGTAAGACAACCTGAAGCAGAAGCAGCTCGAGGGACAGTTCACTCACTGGAGCATCACTGAAAGAGCCAGGATTGATAATGTGAATTGTATTTTGCATATGACTACTATTTAACGGGATTACAACAAAACTTCTTAAGAGTCTAATAAACTTACTATCTTTATTACCCCTCCTTTCATTCTCTCTCCAACTCAGTGAGGCTTTCCCCACAAATTCCACCAAATTGTTTCTGATAAGGGTCACCAACGACTTTCATTTTGCTAAACTGATAGGTAGGTCTTGGTTCTCTCCTCACTTGCTACATTAGTAGCATGTTACACAAAAGGTCACTCCTTCCTTTTATACCTCACATCCAAACAGCTAGAGAATCCTTTTGACTGTACCTTAACAATAACCTAAAAATTTCTCATGGCCTCCACTGCTACCTCCCCTTCATCTCTGCCACCCTCACCTCTCACCAGGATCACCGTATTATCCTCCCAGCTGGCTTCCTGTTTCTGACCCAGCCACTCCAACCCAGTTTCCTCTCACCACAGCAGTCAGAATGATCCTCTTTAAACTAAGTTAGATCACTCCTTTGCTCAAATCTTTCCAAGAGCTCCTCAATTCACTCAAGTAAAAGCCAAAGTGCTTATGTCCTACAAGACTCTTTCTCCATGACCTCTGACTTCAGGGCCAATTCTTTGCCTTTCTCCTTCTACTGCAGACAAACTTGCCTCCTGCAGGTCCTCAAACAGACCTGGGTGCCACTGCACCTACTTTCTGCAAGAATATTCTGCCTTCAGGGATACACGTGGCTCACTCTCTCAACTCCTTCAGGACTTTCCTCAACTGTCACCCCCTCAGGTCTTTACCAGTCACGCCTCCTAAATTGTCACCCTATCCTGCCCACTCTCTATCCCCTTTCCCAACTTGAATTTTCCCCCATAGCACTTATGACCACTGGCATCACTGTATATTTCATCTATCTTAATGTCTATCTCCACCATTAAAATGTAAGCTCTACTGGAGCAGGATGTTTTCTTGATTCTGTTTTTTTTCACTGTTATGTCCCTAGCACACTGAAAAGTACCCGGCATATAAGGGCTCTCAATTTTGTTTAATGGATGAATGAACTAAACACTGCTATAGCACAAAAACTCTAACCTTCTATGTATAACTGATCACCGCAATGGGTTTATCCCAACAACATATAAAGCTGAACCTGTGTGTGTTTCCTGGTTCTCTTATGACTGGAATCATACATACTATACATGAACTAAAAGGTAAGAAATCCTCCAAATCTATAAAAGTTCTAAGTGTAGAAAAATAAAGTTTTATCACAAAAGAGTAACGATTTTAAAAGTCATAAACTGATGCTGCATTTTAAACTACATACTGGTATTTTTTCTGCCACTTTAAAGAATCAGGATATAAGTATTTTCCAATTCTAATTTAATAAAATACAAATTTGAGATTTTACTCTGTGTACAATAAAGCTTTTATCTTTGAATAATCATGTTCCTATGCAAAGCATTAAGATCCAAATAAGAGGCTAGGCGCAGTGGCTCACACCTATAATCCCAGCACTTTGGGCGACCAAAGTGGAAGGATTGCTTGAGGCCAGGAATTCAAGACCAGCCGGGCAACATAGTCAGACCCTGTCTCCACAAAATATTTTTTTTAATTAAAAAAAAAGAGAGAGAAAAACACCTAAATAAGACATGATTTCAGCCATCTTGGATAAAACAATACGTATTTGTAAAGTAATTTAACAAATGCTATAAAAAGAAATACAACGATGAAGACGATTTTAAAGAATGAAATGATGGCCAGGCACAGTGGCTCATGCCTGTAATCCTAACGCTCTGGGGGGCTGAGGCAGGCAGATGACTTGAGCTCAGGAGTTCAAGACCAGCCCAGGCAACACGGTGAAACCTGGTCTCCACAAAAAATACAAAAATTAGCCAGGTGTGGTGGCTTGCACCTGTACTCTCAGCTACTCAGGACGCGGAAGTGGGAAGATCACCTGAGCCCAGGAGGTTGAGGCTGCAGTAAGCCATGATCATACCACTGCACTCCAGCCTGGATGACACAGCAAGACTCTTTCTCATAAAAAATAAAATTTAAAAACCTTAATCTGGATTTTAAAAAGAAGATCAAATGCTTGCCACTCAAACATGGACAAGAAAATTATTGTAAACACAGAGGAAAAAGACAAACAGCTAAGTAAATCAGGGGAGCCTCAATGGCAGTGTAGCACAATTTAAAAAATTCAAGTCAGTCAATGCTGACACAAGATGTTGAAAAAGCAACATGAGATTATGCCAAACCTTGCATCTCATTCTAAATGGTGTAGATATCACATAGATTACAGAGGAAATGCTGACAACTTTTAAACACAGGGGTAAAATAATCAAAGTTCTAGAGAATCTAGAGGCAGAAGTGTTGCAGATGAATGGAGAGCAAGAGGAAGGCCTAAATTAGTTACTAAATGGCAAATCAAGTTACATTAGTAAGAGATTTTAAGAAATTAGAATTGACAATACTTTAAAGACTTATTAGAAGTAAACTTAAGGAAATAATCCAATTTGCCTGCAATTAGGATAATGACTATGGGGATAATGCAAATCCCTAAAGAAAGAGCATATAGGATGAGTGGTAGAGACTACCGGTAGTGGCAGGTTTCCGGATGGCTTAAGTTTTTTTTTGAGATGGAGTTTCACTCTTGTTGCCCAGGCGGGAGTGCAATAGCATGATCCTCGGCTCACCGCAACCTTTGCCCCCTGGGTTCAAGTGATTCTCCTGCCTTGGCCTCCCAAGTAGGTGAGATTACAGGCATGTGCCACCATGCGCAGCTGATTTTCTTGTATTTTTAGTAGAGACAGGGTTTCTCCATGTTGGTCAGGCTGGTCTCAAACTCCCAATCTCAGGTGATCCGCCCACCTTGGCCTCCTAAAGTGATGGGATTACAGGCATGGACCACCATGCCCAGCCGACCTAAATTTTTTTTTTTTTTTTTTTTAAAGAGACGGAGTCTCACTCTGTCACCCAGGCTGGAGTGCACAATCTTGGCTCACTGCAAGCTCCACCTCCTGGGATCAGGCCGTTCTCCTGCCTCAGCCTCCCAAGTAGCTGGGACTACAGGCGCCCGCCCCCACACCTGGATAATTTTGTTTTTGTATTTTTAGTAGAGATGGGGTTTCACCGTGTTAGCCAGGATGGTCTCCATCTCCTGACCCCGTGATCCACCCGCCTTGGCCTCCCAAAGTGCTGGGATTACAGGCTTGAGCCACTGCGCCCAGCCTTAGCCCACGTAAGATTTTAAAGCAAAAAAGAGTTTCTATCTACAAGCTTTGTACCCTATTTTTAATAATTAAATGTGCAACTCTGGCTTTATTCTTCATAATGTGCTTTTCAAAATAAAGATGATGCTAATACACTCTCCTTGGGTATGGTAAAACATTTCAATGCTGTGTAAATGCATACTTTATGTGCAGAAAAAATAAACATCTTCCTTTAGAAAATGCAACTACTAATGCTTATCTGATCTAGAATAAGGCAAAATTTATGCAAAGTGGAAAAAGTCCAGAAAATTTTTTAAACATTAAGCTTAATTTTAAAAATAATAAAAATAAAGGTAGAATAAGGCAACATTTAGCTGTCAGATGATTTCTAGTTATCTGTAAGAAATGTTTTTAACGTTTAATGTAATCTGAATATCAAATCTCTAACAGAGATAAATTAGTAAAGCTATTCTGAATTTTTAAAACTTACCTGTAGAGCATGACATTGTATGGAAGAAAATGAGGCAGCACACTCTTAATTATACGTATAGGAAGCCAAAGCATCAGGAGGACAATGGAGCCAAAGACAATCTGCAGAACGAAACAGGGTATGACACCACTATAAGAGTCAATCACTCCTGTGCAAGACAGGCAGACTTCTGAACACAGTCAAGCAACATGCAGTCCAGGCCTGTATCTACTCAAAACCCAAGTGGTTCCCACTCTACACATTACCCCTGAGTCATTTTGTATAAAAATGTTTTCCTAAGATGCCTGCCCTTCTTCCTGTAAGGACCTCCCATCTAGGACACAAATGCTAAAACGGAAGCCACAAAAGATAATCACCGCTTGCTACCTAAGAAATGAGATAGAAACTTAAAATGAAGCAGCAGAAATGCCTGCAACTTAATAAATCACTTGTAACCAGCTAAGACTTGACCTCATGTAAATGGCTACAAAAGCTTTCAAAGCACATAATGTTACTTTAAGAATTTTATTTTAGAAAAACTTAGATTTACGGCTGGGTGTAATCCCAGCACTGTGGGAGGCCGAGGCGGGTGAATCACTAGGTCAGGAGTTCGAGACCAGCCTGGCCAACATAGCGAAACCCCGTCTCTACTAAAACTACAAAAAATTAGCTGAGCGTGGTGGTGGGCGCCTGTAATCCCAGCTACTTGGGAGGTGGAGGCATGAGAATCACTTGAAACCGGAGGTGAAGGTTGCAGTGAGCCGAGATCGTACCACACTGCATTCCAGCCTGGGTGACAGACCAAAACTCCATCTCAAAAAAAAAAACGAAAGGAAGAAAGAAAGAAATTAGATTTAACTATGTAATTTCTTCTTCCAGGTGGGGAAACTTTAACATGCTTCTGTTAAGAGTTTAATTTACAAGCCAGTAATAAGTCTCCATTGCTTCAATGCAAATTAAACATAATTCAGACAACCGTAATTCAGCAATCAATCATACCAGTGGTACCCAACCATTTTGGCACCAGGGACCAGTTTCATGGAAGACAGTTTTCCAAGGGGTTTCAGGATGAAACTGTTCTGCTTCAGATCATCAGACATTAGATTCTTATAATGAGCACACAACCTGGATCCCCCACACTCACAGTTCCCAATAGGGTTCATGCTCCCATGAGAATCTAATGCCAAGGCTGATCTGACAGGAGGTGGAGCTCAGGTGGTAATGCTTGCTTGCCCGCTGCCCATCTCCTGCTGTGCAGCCATTTCCTAACAGGACATGGACCAGTACCCAGCCAAAACATGGGGGCTAGGGACCCCTGAATTATACTATGATAGAACAAGAAAGCATCTTCCTTTTAGTAAATATCTTTTTACAAATGCATTTTAACCAAGTAACCAATAAAACAGCTACTGGACAATTGAATACCACAGGCTTAGATGACTATATTATTCAATATACTCTTATCAGCCCGCTTGAGAACTGGAAAAAAAAAAACCTAAACAAAACTATAGGTTAGCATACTTTATTCAGAAAAACAAAGGAAACATCTTCTTACCACTGACAAAATAAATCTTCGGAGATGCCTATATATTGGCAAATGGATCATTTCCTGTACTGGATTGAAATCTGGATCATTCAAATTCCTTAGAAACCATAGGACACCAGGTCGAAGTACCTGCAAATACATTTTAAATACTATAAATATTCACCAGTGTCTTCAAATTCTATATATGAGCTAAAACATTAACAGAAAAATAAGCACTTAAAATTATTCTGGCAACTAAAGTGGGCCCCAGAAAATGTATATGGTATTCCTAGGAAAGTAAGTTCCTAAACCAGAATCTTTATGAAAAGTACCCTGTGTCTGATGATGTCCTTTGACATCAGCATTCACTGGAAACAAAACAAAACAAACAAAACAAAACAAAAAAACTACTCATTGGGTCAAATGTGTCAAGAAATCTAGACCTCTGAGATGAAAAATAAATACAACCATTACTATAGTAAAAGGGTTATGTTGCAATTTATAAATGTCCTAAATAGAAGGTCTGAATTTCAGTCTTACACTTACACAGAGTTATCTTAATTAAGAAACCCTACAGCCTCAGTGTCTTCATTTTACTATCTATGCCTTCCCCCTGTGAATGAAAATCATCACCCAAGAGGCTGTAGGTGATGGGGTAAAGGAGGAGTCTGGGTAATAGTCCTATGTGGTCCAAACTCACTGAGTTACCCTCTGTAATGCATCTAATCTGCCCAAACTTCTATTCTCCATCTCCTAAACAACGGGGTTACAGTGTGTGATTTCTAAGGTTCTATCTAAGTTCCAAATACTAAAATTTTATATCAACAAAAACCACCACACTGATAAAATGAAAAAAATCATTATAAAGCATTTTATTCACTTAATGAAGTAATCTGGAGTTCACATACAATTACATTTTTAAGAAACACATTTCTGTACTTGCTTCAGTTCTCAATCATTTGTTTCAAAGAAAGAATGAAAGCTTTAGTTACCAAGAGAATTTACTGAAATTATACTATATGATTCAGAAGAATGCTTTGGCCCCTGACCCCTCCTCCTCTTCCTGCAATCTTTCAAAGAACAAAGTACACCAAGAGCAGCATTCAGCCTTTGTGCTTTTGTGTTCCATTCCCACTGGAATTGTCAACCTGCTCCTCCACACCCTGCACATCTCCATCACCAGTCTCCGTGTAAGCTGACATTTTCAATGCTGTATTCATTTTCAGGCTATAAAATTGAGGAGAACAGGAATTGTGCCTTTGTTTCTCACTGATACCCCACAATACAGGATAGTGTCTGGCACACAGTGAGCATTCACTATTTGGGGAACGACTGAGCTTAACATGTACACTAATGAAATACTCATCTGCTTTCATCATCTTCAAATCACTTGGAACCAGATTCCAAAAATAATATTAATAAAGGTATCAGGCCAGGCACAGTGAATCACACCTGTAATTCGAGCACTTTGGGAGGCCAAGGTGGGCAGATCATTTGAGGTCAGGAGTTCAAGAACAGCCTGGCCAACATGGTAAAACCCTGTCTCTACTAAAAATACAAAAATTAGCCGGGAATGATCCCAGCTACTTGGGAGGTTCAAGCAGGAGAATCACTTGAACTCAGGAGGCGGAGGTTCCGAGATCATGGCACTACGTTCTAGCATGGGCAACAGAGCAAGACTCAGTATCAAAAAATAAATAAATAAATAAAGGTAACCCATCAGGCCAGTGAACTGGAATCATAAAGGACTCTCATTGTAATTCTATACTTAAGATGCCTAAATCAAAGTGACTTTAAATATCCGATCCTGCAAAACCACATCCTTTTGGTTATTTCCATCATTACAGTTCCTTGAGGTCTGAGATACACTCACATCATACAAAATTCCAACAATCTGTATTAGAGGATGGCTAAAGTATATACAAAGTATGATAAAGTGAGTACTCTTATTTTGTTCCTCAGTTGAATCGTCTTTCAAACTTAGACAGAAATATTAAAACTTGCCAATTATGGAGACAAACAACTGAAAAAGTTAAAAGCAATTAAGTCAAAGTCCCCTATAAATTATTCCCTCTTAGAATAAAATAGTAGAGAATATGATTTAGGTAGGAAATCATCATAGCCGTTGAGACATGACTGGTGGTGAAAGCAAAAGTCCTTTTTACAAATGTATAGCATCAGCATTTCCCTGTGGACTTACCTCTCTCAGTAACAGAATGAAGGAGGCAAAGTAGAAGACATACACCATTCCCACTAGCCAATGCAGAAACATGGTAGTACCTGGAGCCGACTGAAAGCTCAGTTCTCGATCTTTCAGAGTAGCATCAAACATTTCCTGAGCCAAAAGAGGACAGGTAAGAGAGATCTGTGCCCCCTACATTTGCCAAATTAACATTTTCATCTTCTAGGAAATAAATAATCAATACACATGCAAGGAACAATTTCTACAACTGCAGTCCACTTAACGTCATTCCACGGTGACATAGAACTACAAACAAGATTGGCTACTGCTTCAAATATAAAGAATGATAAACCAATTGGTAAAAGCTTTATTAATATTGATTCTATTAAAGAACTATCTTTGATGAATATAAAACCTTCTTTTCTTGGTTATAGGTCTGCATTCTTGAGAAGTTTTAAAAATAAGGTATGGGAGGGTAAATGTTATCTCAGAACCAAAGACACCTTTTCCATACATAAAACATTTTTGAAAAAATCAAAAACTGATTATTACTAACAGCAATTAAAGATTATAATCAAGACTGAGCATCTTAGTTAAATCAAATGATTAGGGTTAAATTTATTACTACAAAGACAGTTTCCTTATCAAATCACTCTATGTATATAATGTCTTGGCATTATCTATAAAAATTTAAGAGAGCAAAATGGGCAATACAATTCTCCACTAGTTAATAGAAAGATTCCATCCAAAATGTCCTGACACAAAAAATTTGCACAAAGCCTCAAAAACTCAGGTACTCAAGAAAAATTAACATTAAGACTCTATACAGATACACTTGCCAAAAGAATAAGCAAATTATCAAATATTTACTTTCCTTTAAAAAGAACCCATGCTGAAAACTTCCTTTTTTGAAGCCTTGAAATTATGCTATCATACAATAATTAATACTCAACTTACCAAGGAACAGATATCCAGCCACCAACCACAAATGAGAGGGAATACTCCAATTTCTACCACCACTAACAAAGAGACCTTAAGTGAAAATAAAGGTCATCAGTATCACCCAAATGTAGGAGAAATCATTTCCAATTTTAAGTTATAACAGGAATTACCTTAACAACAATATAGCAGACTCCCAGTAAGCGACGAGATCTATGAAATTTCACAAGAGTTGCCAAGCCCTACAGCATCAGGTCAAGGAAAAACTGAGTATTTAAAGGTACAATGAAACAGGTAACTACTTAGCCAACATTTAGTATTTTTTGACAGAATTAATTTATTTCACATTTTGTCCACTGACCCTTACTGCAAATACCAACAACTTTTACTAAGGGGACGAGGAGAGACAAGTTTTACCATTAATGAAGAGTTCTTTGGTATGAATAACATTAGTGAACACCCAAGTTGGTTCATTAAAGGATACATGACAAATTATCAATGTTATTGCTAAAAGTATATACCCAACTATGGTTGTGATTAGGCCTTCAAAATGAGATGCTTGGACCTGGAAATAAGAAAAAAGTAAATAAAATTTAATTTTACGACATGTCCTACACCCCAGTTTTCCCATATTGAACAATCAAAATGACTGAAGAGAATTGTCGAGACAATTTATAACCAGAAAACAACTGTAAAATCTCCTTTGGATGACATCTCTGAAAACCAAATTCTCTCACTGACTGTTACAAACTACTAAAAAATGAAGAAAAATTAAATAACACTTTACCCAAGGAGACAAAATAACAGTAGAGTGAATTACATTTTACAAAAACAAGAGCCCTGTAATACAACAGCCTGCCCTCTACTCTCACTGGAAAGCAGATCTGCTAAAAGCTAACCACTGAAAGCAGAACACACTGCCCAAGTCACGCACCAGCCGGGTAATATCCCAGCCACCTCATTTCTTACCACTAGAAGTAACTGTGTTCAAGTTTCCCTTGCTCTGCAAATCTGTACCATTCTCAACTTACAGAAAGAATTTTGAAAGTAACAAACAATGCCTATCAGTATTTTTTGATTTCTGAGTTTCAGATAGCAAGTGGCAATAGTTTGGAAAGTCAAAAATTTTCAAAACACTTATCTGAACCTTTCAAGTTCTTGCATTCAACTAGTGAGAATCAGATGTGTACTAAATATTAGAACACTTCAGAATGTGATCTCTCAGATCTTATATATACAAACTGAGCATATGATCCCAGATAGTCAGCTCTTCCTTAAAAGACTAAATTCTTCTAGGGACCCAACAGAGAAATAATAATCCTTCCAAAATTTATTTAACTCTGGAGAATACTGATAATATGTCAAAACTAAAGCACTCTAGAAAACACTACAACCCATCATTCCAAAATAGTCTATCCTTTTTTAATTGATTGATATATTGTTACTTTTCTAAATTCAGCAGGGGGCACCTGCGGAAAGGGAAAGAAGTGAACATACAAGTTCTTGAGATGGATGGAAAATCAGCCTGTGGGAAACTTTCCCCCAGGATGCCTCAGGCCCACCCAGCTGAATGGATTTCAGAGCACATTTTCATTAGTTGGCAACAAGACCACTAACTCTTGAGCCACTGTTATTTAAAAAAAAAAAAAGAAAGACGGTATTGCCTAACTATTCCCTTGCATAATGCCAATTAAGAAATGATGTAACTCTTTAGAATGCTATTTGATTAATAATCACATTTGGGAGTAATGAATGAAAATAATTTTGTAAAAGTATTATACTCACGTGTTCTTCAAATCCCAAACCAACAAGGGAGAAATGACCAATATGGTAAGGACAAAATGCTAAAAGGGGGGAAAAAACTCAATGAAAACTTCAACATCAAAACAATGTACACTCCCACTACAATCCGCCACTAAAAGGAACCAGGGCTTCTTGGAGAAATGAAAGATTCCAGAACTAGGCTAAAAATACACTGCCTAGGACATTCTCTGTAACTAGAGAACAACCAAGTTATTAAGGTCTAATAAGGCCATGCCAAATCAACAGAGAAACCATTGTGAAAACAGGCCAAAGAGAGAATATGAGCATCAAAAAGAATAATGACCAAAACTGATGGAAAAACACTGAACATATACAAATCCATGAGCTTATGATGCTCAAAAAAGGAAAAGCCCAAAATAATAATCATGAAAAGAGAAAAAGCAACATCAAATAAAACACTTTCATGTTTTGGAAGCAGTTAGCACACCAACTAGAATAGTTAATGTGCCAATTCCTTATTCTGAAAACTAAAATTAATGGGAAAAAAATAAGCATCTGTCCTACTTGTCCTGGACAAACAGGTTCAGGTTGACTGAATAGTCCCAAATTGATAAGAATTTCTTCTTCTTTACAGAAAAGTCAGCCAATAAATGTAAAAAATGACAATTTAAAAATCACCATTTTGCCGCCCCTAACACAGTAAGTGATTATGGCAAGGACCATTAAGAGCTAACAAAAATCATTAAGTGGAAGGTTGATGGAACACTGTAAGACACTAAAATATCACTCCCAACAGATTATCTTCTAATGGTAAAGGGAAAAGTAAAACCTAAGATTAGAGGCCCAGGTTGATATAACCTGAATCCAGTGATAAAAGTGGATAATCCAACATAAGTATCTCAGCTCCTCACATACACTATTAATAGGCACAGAGTGACCAGTGATGGATTTGTCCCAGATGTATTGAACCTGAATCTAATTAAGGTCCTTAGATCTGACTTCTAGTTTAAGAGAAATATGGGAGACAAAGGATAAAGGCAGAGAACATCTGGGAAGCAGATGGACAGATGTAAAACACGACATGCTGCAAGAACAGTTAACCTAATCCCAGCAACAAATCAATGGCCAAATAGGGTGAGTTGGGGGAACCAAAGAGAAGAGTACTCTAGATTAAAAGACTAATAACTTATGACTTAACAACTAAAAGTAATATGTGGACCTTATTTGGATCTTCATTCAAAGAAATCAACTGCAAAATGGTATCCAAGGGACAACCCAGAAAGTTTGAATATGATGGATTATTGGAAAATATTAAATTCTAATAATTTTGTAAGGTGAGATAATGGCATTATAGCTAAGTATGAAAATCTTTTTAAAATCTTTATAGTAAGAATTTTTATAGTCTTCTTTTTCCTCAAGTCTTTCTGGCTAAATTTTACTTCATTCTTAATAATAAAATGCAGTTATCTTTTCTTTATGGTAGAAATAAATTGACAGCACAGATTACCAGGGAAGTGAGAAACTCAATCACAGAAGTCAGAGTGAACCTACTAGGGATCTGGCCTCTAACCCTTTCTCACTATTTCATGGGTAGGAATCTTTTTGAACATGTATTCCCAATATATTTAAATTTATTTATAAATTATATATATATATGTATTAGTTTACTAACATATTGTGTGTAATATAAAGCAGAAGAAATTTTAAAAGGTAAGAAAAAAAGCTGTATGTTGAATTTTGCCTATTTTGCTCTCATATCCCAGTCTGAAGACGACTCAACTAGGCCCCTGGGAAGGGTAAGTTTTAACTCTATTTGCAGAGGTATTAAATAATTATTAACCTTAAACACCAGTTGCGACAACAGTTTTCTATCCCATTACACACAAACTAATGGAAAAAGGACAATTTCTCAGGATTGTCACCTTCTACTGGAAGACCACAGCTTTGTCAAATTATATTTCTGCAAAGCGTATGACCACAAGAGTCAAAACACTGCCTATAGAAAACTTCCAACAGAGCAACCCATGCAGGAAAAAAACAGGAGGGTGTTTAATCCCAATGATTAAAAGAAAAAGTATGTTTCTAATGGAAGAAAACTTGTTTCATTTCCAAAAGATCCTAACTATATAAAAAAACATAAGTTTACGAAGAAAATTCTTTTCGCAGTATAAGCTCAGGTTGGATTAGAAAAAGCTTTACTTAGATTTCTATAATTTCTATTTACTTAGATTTCTATAAATGAGAGTTCTTATTTGTATAATTCATGTTTTAAATGTGACCTGTTTCTACAAACATTAATTTAGCATTAAGCTTTTCTGCAAGAGTAAAGACCTAAATCTATAGATCATTTTTTTCTCTCAAAAACAAATACAGTCAAGATCAAAACAGTTTCAGTCTATATATGAATTATTTCACATAATGAAAAATAAATGCAGAATAACATACAGACACCCCCACATGCAAGGCGAACAAAGAATGAGCTTCCTATTAAATCTGCAATTTTGTGAGTATCTACTAAAAATTAAGAAATCAATGGAAGTATCCGAAATACTGTTAATAAAATACAAGTAAATTTCTCTTCCTCTTTTACACATAATATACAGAAATCAATTTTTGGCCTCATCCTCAGTCCAAATATTCAAAGCCCCTTACACCACATGGCTTCTTATTAAAGACATCTGCTTTACACGTCACAATGTAGTCCCCAACAGAGCAAATAACTTGCAATTTGGTGGAAGAAGCCGGGAAATCGCTACTCATCCTCTTCAGCAGAACTAAGGGGTAAATCCTATGTACTAAGGAAGGAATTTCTCATAGATTATCCCTATATAGGGATATGTTGCCTGAGGTCTCTGAGACACAAACCATAGGACACCTAACAGTAACCCCATTCTATCAGACTCTACCTCCTCAACCCTCAGAGATACAGAAACTGAATTCTAAGGCCTTGGTTTACTCAACGTAGTTTTCCTTACCTCTTCTGGTAAGGAGAAAAACCTCTGTCCACAGTGTCTCCTCAACCTTGCCTTTCTTTCTCTAATTACTCCCAATGGGAAGGACCACCGTGTGTTGTCAAAGAATCCTCACAGCTGCCCCCACAGAAGTGCTTGGAAGTCATTTTGCATGTCCTGGAATCTGGTTCTAAGGGGGGCTCACATTTGGGGAAGGCTTACTGTCTTCCCACAAGCCTACACCCAGCTCTGGTAACAGCTCCCAAGTCAAGATCTCTAGAAGGCAATGGTCAGGATTTTGACAGATGAAAACAAGATCTTCCACCATAGGGAAGAGCACACAGACAATCAGCATAAAAGTAATTCCAGAAGTGGGAAACTGTGTATTCTCAAGTCAGTCTAAAACCAGCTTCTACCAAAAAAAAAAAAAAAAAAAAAAAACAGAAGGAGAGACAAGTAGGTAACTGCAGTCACTGCTGCTTAGGAAAGTATCTGTCTGTCTGGGGCCTATCTATACAGGTATTTGTATCTGAAACTATTTTCATATACCACTTAGTATTTATTCTTATGTTAAAAAAAATAAATCTATAACAAAGCTCCTACAAAACTAAATTCCTACCATAATACTATAAAAAAATAAAAGCACAAACACAACTTACCAAAAACAAGAATGAACAGTGTATTTAAAGATACCACCCAGAAGACATGTTCCTAAAGGAAAAAAGTATCAACAAAGCATATTCAATTCATATTTAATATATGTTTAATTGGACTATTCCACTTATTTAGCTAGAACCAAATACTAAAAACAGCTAAGATTGAAATTTTCCCTCTATTGTTTTGGGATTTCAATCTAGACATAATATGTAACTTTCATTTTTCATTAGCTAGCTCATACAACTAAGCCTAATACAACTCAAAAATGTTACATGTAGAAAAAACAAATTCATTTATAAATACTTCCTTTTTAGAAATAATCTAACACAAATTACATAGATTTTCATAAATACCAGATTTCATTTAAATCAAATGACACCAAAAATTTCAAATGGAGAAAAATTTGAAAGCCAAATTAATTGTAAACATCACGTTAATGTCAACTGCAGTGTTTCTTTCAACATCTACTCTGCTTTCTTGACACCTACAAGGCCACTACTGCCTGGCTACCTCTCCTTTGGAAAACTCTAGCTTGATCTCCCTCTGGTCCCCCCACTCCCTGTGGTGCACTAATTTTCTTTGTCCTGTCTCACCTGACCATCTGGTCACCTCCCACAGTTACATACTGTCGCCTCTAAGGTGACAGCTGTCTACCTATTCCTTCAGCCGTGTTGCACACACTTTAGCTATGCCCCATGCTGACACTGACCAGACTGCCCAAGTCCATTCATTTATGCCCACGACCTTCCCTAACCATCAGGTTAAATGATCCTTCGAAAGATCTTTTGTCTAAAAAAAGGATTTCTCTGTTCAGGTCCCCTAATCTTCCACAAATCCAACCAGCAAGAAGGGTAATTAGTTTGTAAATGACTACTACATTTCTTCTCACCATGCTGGCTCAATTTTTTCAACCTCTCTGCCTTAAGGGCTCCTAAATTTTCCCTATCCCCAACATATTTTATGCTTCAACCTCTAAGTTATCTTCACTGAAAATCTCCTGCTGACAAACTCCATTCCACTAAGACAGACCTAATCAAACTCCCTTTTGTGCCCCTTGTGTCCTGTGCACACTTTTTGTCACTGAGTCTCCAAAACGTTCCTTGTTTACATGTGCATTTCTCTCTACCTCAATATAGTGCATCTTTGAGAATAGGGACCCTGTCTCATTCATCACTGAACTCCCCAGTGCCTATCACAATAGCTGGCACACATCTTCACATTAAATATTTTTTACTAAAATAATGAATTCATCCTGTCAAAAGTTTTTTCAATAATTCAAATGGGTTTCAGTCAACACCACTACCTTAACGACTTCTGTCCGTCATTTATGAGGAACTGGCAGGGTAATAAATATAAATCAGTATGTGGCCAAATAATGCTTTCTATACTGACTGTGATCAAACCATGACTAGAAGCTCATTAATACCACATTCCCACTAAACTGTGGAATTATACCAGATATGTTCCTAAAAATCTACACACTGCTAAATTCAACATCCTCTTCTGGTTAACATCTGGAGCCAGCCTGAGGAGAAGGCCAACACTGAGGACAGCAAAGGAGATAGATGGAGATATCTGGGTCTCTGAGGACATTGTTGGGCTTACGGATCAAGCAACCTGAAGCTCATTCTTCCTCCGGACTTCCTGTTTTATTAATGTTCCAACCAGTAGGGTTCTGCTACCTGCAGCCAAAGTCATCTTAAGCTATTTAAAAATCTCAAATGGCAAATAACTTCATATTACAGGACCTGAAAACAGCATCATTTCTTCTTTAAAGAACAACTTCTTTAAAGAATTGCTCTCACCTTAGAGTTGCAACCTTTACTAATAAGGCAGAGTTCCTAGGTAAAGATAGGTGGGGTTCAGCAAACAGGAAAACCTAACATCAGCCTGGGGTGTCTAACTGTGTAAATATGCAAAACCACTTTGCTTCCACCAGTAGAGGCAATAAACACTGCAAGATGGAACTTTAAAAGAAGACCAAGTTCTTTTTACCTACCATTAACTTTGAAGTTTATTTTCTTTACTAAAAATCAAATATTTAATAATTTTTTAAAAATAGTTATTACCTTTATGCTTTTTTAATATTTTCAGCACACTAAACATACAATCTTCAACATATAAAGTAATCAAAAGCCAAAAGGCATCTTGACCTTTACTACATACTATAAATGTGAAGTTTCTGAATCACTAAGACAACTCCAATTCTGTTATTAAAAAGAATTCGCTTTCGCTTAGGCGGGGTGCGGTGGCTCACGCCTGTAATCCCAGCACTCTGGGAAACCGAGGTGGGTGGATCACGAGGTCAGGAGATTGAGACCATCCTGACTAATACGGTGAAACTTCATCTCTACTGAAAATACAAAAAATTAGCTGGGCGTGGTGGCCGGCTCCTATAGTCCCAGCTACTCGAGAGGCTAAAGCAGGAGAATGGTGTGAACCCAGGAAGCAGAGGATACAGTGAGCCGAGATCTCGCCACTGCACTCCAGCCTGAGTGACAGAGCGAGACTCCATTATAAAAATACATACATAAATAAATAAATTAGTTTCACTTACCAGAAAAACTAGTGATCCATCAAGTCCTAGCATCTAAAAATAAAAACGATAAGCATTAAGATTCAACAGAACTTTCTATCCTAATTTATGAAAAGCCTCATTTTCTTTTCAATATCTTTAAATATAGTCCTCCATCCACAACTTTCCATTACTTCCTATCATTTTCAGAAAATAAAAAAATTTCTGTTTCTGAATGACAGTTTTATATTTTGAGTCTCCTTTTACTCAAAATTACATGATTTATAAAGTCTAAAAAAATTCCATCTTGGATTCGTTACTGAAGATATAGAGCTAATTAAGACTACTTCATAATACAACTGTATTATTTTGTCAACTGAAGCATGAAAATACTATTTAAATTTAAATTGTTATTTTGTTTTTCAAAAGTCCACAATTTCAGGTAAAACATTTCCTAAATGGAACAAGGTTTCGTAAGAGAGAAAAAAAAGCCACCAACATCACAATATTTTCACCACAGTGTATCACTTAACTTTCACTAGGAATGAAAATTCCAGTAACTTTTCATCAACTGTAACCATAACATCTAAATATAACAAAGTTTAAAATATATTTTAGGATTAAAACACCAGGATACTTGACAGAAAAAGGTCTTACTCTTTCCCATGTAAGCTCTTCAGCAGCTCGGTCCCATTCTAAAGCATTCCAATTCATGTCATCTGAAAATATAATTGCAATTTAAAGATTACTAATGGAATTTGAACTAAAAATAATAAATAATAATAAAATGCACTAAAAATAGTAAAACTTAGTACTTTGTAAGCTGTTGTTGAGAAGCTAAGCCACATTTCCATACCGAGTATCTGCTTGTCAGGGAACAAATAAGAATAAAAACATACATATAAATAAATACTACATATAAAGTAATGTAATCCTAGATTGAGATAAATGCCAGAAAGGGAACAAACAGGGTTATGTGAAAGAGAGGAATTCAATAGCTCTAAGCCAGGAAAGAATCTGGCAGATTTGAGAAAAGGAAACCAGGGGACTAGGACATTCTGAGTAATGATATGGGTAGTAGAAGACAGAAATCAGATCATACAAGAGAAATGTGGAGTCTGGATTTTATTCTTTAGTAATGGAAAAACTACTAAAAGATTTAAAGGCAGCAGAGTAATATGAATTATGTGGAGCAAGAATGGAAGGAGAAAGAATAGTTAGGAGCTATTGTATTAGATCAAGGGAGAGAAATAATAGCCAGACCCAAAGGTAGCAGCAAGCTGTATTCTCAGAGCCTCTGACCTCTCCCTGCAAAGGTTCCCTATTACCATTACACAAGCCACTTTTCATCATCCTTCAGAGGTCTCAGCTCAAATACCAGGTACTCTGAGCTACCTGGGAAACCTTATTTAGGACAGGTCTCGGCTGGGCAAAATGGCTCATGCCTGTAATCTTAGCACTTTGGGAGGCTGAGGCAGGAGGATCACTTGCGCCCAGGAGTTCAAGACCAGCCAGGACAACAGGGAGAACCCATCTTTACCAAGGAAAACAAAAACAAAAACAAAATTAGCTGGGCATGGTGGCACACACCTGTGGTCCCAGCTACTTGGGGAGTTCAGGTAGGAGGATCACTTGAGCCCAAAAGGTCAAGGCTGCAGTGAGCTGTGTTCCTGCCACTATACTCCAGCCCGGGTGACAGGGCAAAACCTTGTCTCAAAAAAAAGTAAATTAATTAAATAGGTCTCTCCCCAACAGCATCCTCAGAGCAACCTGCACAACACTTATCACACGACACGTCTTTCCTACTTTTTCACTAAACCAGAAACTCCAGGAATGCAGCAGTCTAATGTTTTGGTCGCAGTTACATGCTCAGTGTCTAACAGAGTGCCTGACACAAAGAGACAATCAAGTATCAGGCATGCCAAGTAGACCTAGAGACAGTGCAAAGCTTGACAGAAAAACTGTGGTGGGAGGGAGGACGGGAAGTGAGTGACCGACAGCTGACTGGCAGACTCTGTCTTGGATCTTTTTTTTTTTTTGAGACGGAATCTTGCTCTGTCACCCAGGCTGGAGTGCAGTGACATGATCTCAGCTCCCTGCAACCTCTGCCTCCTGGGTTCAAGTGATTCTCCTATCTCAGCCTCCCAAGTAGCTGGGATTACAGGTGTGCGCCACCACGCCCAGCTAATTTTTGTATTTTTAGTAGAGATGGGGTTTCACCATGTTGGCCAAGCTGGTCTCAAACTCCTGACGACCTCAAGTGATCTACCCACCTCCTGTCTTGGATCTTATTTTATATGCTAGAGTTTACACTGCTAGAAAATGAGATATTGATTTATTTGGATGGCACCTTGTCTACAGTATACACTTCAAGATTCTTTTTCAATTTTAAAAATTGCACTGACTCAAGGGACATGGAAAGACAGAAGCAAATGAATGTGGTAAATCTGTACCAAAGTCCTTTATTTTAAAAAAAGTAGTACCTAATCCAACTTAAAAAATAATTTCTTCCTATCTATCCTATAAAAAAAGTCCCTGTGTAAAAAGGATTTTAAAACATAAAACATGCTGTTTCATAGAAAAAAACGTATTTATGTACATCCATAAATGCCAGTTTGCCAAAATAAAGTAAAAATAAGTTAGAAATAGAACTTCACAACATTAAAATTTGAAAATGCCAGCCCTTTTCCTCAATGCAAGTTGAGAACAGATTTGCAGTGCTGAAGACTGAGGACACACAAGCAGCCATTACCCTGGGCTCCGTTATTAGCATCTGCCGCATCTTCCACACCAGCGTCATCTTCCTCCTCGTTGTCCTCCTCCTCCTCCTCTGCCTGGTCATCCTGGGCATCAGGGTTTTCCCCCACCACTGCATTCTCAGCTGGTGGGTTAGCAGGCTGATCAGCAGCAACATTTTCTGCACCATTTCCTCCTGCTGGAGCCTAAACTCACAGAAAAGCCCAGAAATTTAGATCCACTTGTCTGTTTTGCTCTGTTTCCAAATCACATTATTCTTGCTAAAACAAACAAACAAACTAGGCCAGGTGTAGTGGCTCATGCCTGTAATCCTAGCACTTTGGGAGGCGAAGGCAGGCAGATTGCTTGAGCCCAAGAGTTCAAGACCAGCCTGGCCAGCACAGCAAGACCCTGTCTCTACATAAAATTAAGAAGTTAGCCAGGCATGGTGGTTTGCGCCTGTAGTCCCAGCTACTCAGGAGGCTGAGGTAGGAGGATCTCTTGAGCCCGGAGGTTGTAAGGCTGCAGTTAGGTGGGATCATGCCACTGCACGCCAGCCTGAGTGACAGAGCAAGACCCAATCTCAAACAAAACAAAACAAACAAAAAACTAGAAAACAAATATAAACTCTACCAAACTCTTTTTAAAAAGAAAACCTTTCAAAGACATCTTTTTTAAATGTATCCGATGTGGGATCAATTTTAGTATATAGGAACATAACCTCACTTCATAGTGCACATATTCGTTCAGTATAATTTAGCGGATTAACAGTTCACAAACCATTACAGAAAATGGTTAACAAACCTGACTCTCTTAAAAACATCATTCTGTAGTTCTCCTTATAGGACAGCCTTTTTTTTTATTGACAGCATCAGAGATGAAAATACATTTTTTTTAAAATGCACATACATATATACATATACGCAACTTAATTCTGTTAACAAACACTTGAGGAAATGTTTTCAAATTTCTGCTCAGTGGGTAAGATTGTGCACACAGACCTTAGTATACCTCCAATGCTGTCCCTACTCTAGCTAGAAAATTAAGAGGCAAAGTTATAACAACATTTTCTTGATTTTTCACATCTCTCTTCATCTTCACCCAAACCTTTCCACTGCCCTCCTTTGTAATAACAAAAGAACATTTATGAGGGACATGGAAGTCAAGAGTTTGAGTCTTAGAGAGAGACAATAATTCTCATGACCTACCTAAGTAAAATCAATTTTGGAGAAGGGGAGTTACCTCATTTTGGTGATGTCCCGCAGCATTGAAGGGTGGGGCAGCGTGCTCCAACCAAATTGGTGCTCCCCCGTGGACTATCTGCTCTCTCAACCACACCAGGCTGATGAATGCACACAGTGTGCATGTCACCACAAAACAACCCTGCAAACAATCTGCCAACAAATTTTCCCTATTAAAAAAAAAAAAAGTACATATAATTACTCCAAAGAACACTTAAAATTAGGAAAATAAAGGTAAAATGTTTTATTTTACACTAAGTCTCAGGAAAAAAACAGCCAGAAAAATAAACAATAATTTTTTGGATGAAAATCTCAAGTTTCTCCAACAGAACTATTTGTGATTATGGTGAAATTCTATTTATAAGAGAACCTATACATATTTATATACTTGTATTATATATCTTATTTAGGCATCAAATACCATCAAAACTATATGGAAATTACCTATCCATAGCCTATCTTTTGAAAATGGCCTAGAAACAGAAAGGCAGAAAGCAAAAAAGACAAAAGCAGTCTAATACTTGACAAAGGCCATGCATTAAACTTATGTAATTTACCAAAGGTTAAAAACTCTGTCCAACTCTAAGAATTTCTGTATCCTTATTTTACACACGTTTAAAAATGTGATTAGCTGACACCTGAACTCACACAAATTAATAGAATCATCGAATCAGAAAAGAGGAGAAGCTCCTCCAGACAAGTCTAATGACAACATAAAGAAATGAAGGTTAAGAGATATTCAGGATGCCATATGTAAGACAAAGAGGTCTATTACAAATTTTATAGAAGTTTGTCACTTGGCCAGGCGTGGTAGCTCATGCCTGTAATCCCAGCACTTTGGGAGGCCAAGGCAGGCGGATCACTTGAGGTCAGGAGTTTGAGACCAGCCTGGCCAACACGGTGAAACCCCATCTGTACTAAAAATACAAAAATTAGCCAGGCATGATGGTGTGCGCCTATAATTCCAGCTACTCGGGAGGCTGAAGTAGGAGAATGGCTTGAACCCAGGAGGTGGGGGTTGCAGTGAGCCGAGATTGAGCCACCGCACTCCAGCATGGGTACAGAGTGAGACTCTATCTCAAAAAAAAAAGTTCTTCATTCAGAAAGCAAATCAAGTTTTGATGCTAACTGCAAATATGCCAAAAGTGTATTCGTTTCTCAACAAATCCAGAAAGGTGAAGTATGGTTCCTTTAGTAATCATACAAGAAAATGCATCAAATGTTGTGATACCAAGGACCATTTTCTCCTTTTCCTCTCTTAAGAGGCTTATCTTTCCTTCCCTAGTCCATGTTTATGATTTCAGAATTATTCACAGATAACTCAAACACCTCTGAACTCTTAGCCACTGGAAAATCCATTATTTTAATGGAATCACTTTTTTCCTCCATAGAAAACTTGAGAAGGGTCAATCTGGTAGACCTTGACCCAGCAGCGCCAAACTTAAACTAAACTGGCATGGCCCCTAGAAAATATAGTCTGCAGTATGTCCTGAATCAAAAGAGGAATCCTAACTACCACCTTACTAAGGAACTCTCCAGGCTATTACATTCTGAAAGGTTTGGACCAAAATATCCCCTTTATATCTTCCTTGCCATCAGCAATAATCCTAACTGTTTGTTACAGATATTAAACATTTGGTGACAAACTCTAGTCCTTTTCGCTTATTCCTTTAATCTGGGCTGGTTTTGTGAATCCTGGAGAGAGGTGATGCTGCCTAAGTTCCAGAGCCCAGAGGAGGGCTTGCAAGCTTCCTCTCTTGCCCTTTTAGAATGCTGCCCTGAGACTACCATGTAAAGAAGCACCACTAGCATTCCAGAAGATAAGAGGCCATAAGGAGGAGAACCAAGGCATCTCAGATAAACCATCTTAGATCATTAAGTCTCAGTAAAACAGCTGAGTGACCTAAGCAAGCCCAATAGTTGACAAGTTCAGCTGAGCCCAGCCCAAACTGCTGACCCCAGAATTATAAGCAAATAAAATGGTAGTTGTTTTAAACCACTAAGGTTTGGGACAGTTTGTTTTGCAGCAATAGATAACTGATACAGTGCACCTAGAGATGACCTCAATTACTGAGCTACAGAATATATAGAAACTGATAAGACATCAAGGAAATTTAAAGTAAAATTTCACAGAAAAAAAAAATTCTATAGAGTACAAAATATTACTCAAAAAAAAAAGTAGCATGGCCACAACTGCTATCAGAAAAACTGGCTCAATTTTTCAAACTGTAAAAGGCAGCTTAGGACTATAAAACCAAGCCATGTTTGTAATTTAGTTTGACTAGCCCCACTAGGCTTCCAGTGGTCCTCTGTAGTCAATGAATAGTCTATTGAAAGCAATTCAGGTGACCCTCAAACCAATCAGGTCAGAGGAAAAAAGAAGTCTGCCAATATAAGGCAAGCAACAATGCTTAATGTCAAGATATAGTAAAGTAACTACAGGCAAGTTTTTAGCATTTATATTCTAATAATCATGGAAAACATTTAAAAAATAAATCTGAGTTCAAATGTGCATGTTAAAAACATATTAAAATGAACTCTTGGCCAAGCACAGTGACTCATGCCTGTAATCTCAGCACTTTGAGACACTGAGGTGGGCAGATTACTTGAGGTTAGGAGTTTGAGACGAGCCTGGCTATCATGGTGAAACTCCATCTTTACTAAAAATTTTTTAAAAATTAGCCTGGCTTGGGACCACACGCCTGTAATCCCAGCTACTCAGGAAGCTGAAGCAGGAGAATCATTTGAACCCACGAGGAAGAAGCTGCAGTGAGCAGAGATCACACCACTGCACGCTACCATAGGTAACAGAGTGAGGCTCCATTTAAAAAAAAAAAAAAACTCTTATGAACATAAGACAGTAGCATATATCTCAAACTGCATGACAGCCTATTTAGAAAGTCATCCCAGCTGTGCGTGGTGGCTCATGCCCGTAATCCACGTATTTTGGGAGCCCGAAGCGGGTGGATCACCTGAGGTCAGGAGTTTGAGACCAGTGTGGCCAACATGGTGAAACCCTGTCTCTACTAAAAATACAAAAATTAGCCAGGCATGGTGGCGGGCGCCTGTAATCCCAGCTACCAGGGAGGCTGAGGCAGAAGAATCACTTGAACCCAGGAGGCAGAGGTTGCAGTGAGCCGAGATAGCAACACTGCACTCCAGCCTGGACAACAGAACAAGACTCCATCTCAAAAAAAAAAAAAAGAAAGAAAAGTCATCCCATCATTACAAAACAGTCCCATGAAACAGGTATGTTTTAAAAGAAATGTCATTTACATTTATCAGCTACTTCTACTGCAGCTAAAACTGTTAGCGTAATAGACATAAATTATTTTTTCTCAAAACAGAAGAATTTACAAATTATAATAAAAACAAATATGCAAGGAAAAAAGCAAGCATCATCTACATCATGCAACATTCATCACACAGGTTCAATACTCACGTCGACAGCATATCTAATGGCAGTGTCAGTAGTGAGCTCACAGAGCCAGTAAACAAGCACTTGTAGATGCGGCCTACCAAAAAAGAGCATGATGGCATACAGTCACAACTCGCATCATGAACTCATATAGCTGCTCAAGAAAGCAGAAGTAAAGTGGAACACCACAAATGCCACTGAAATAAACATTTAGTCTTTACAAACCTAAGTCTCAAAATATTAAATTTTTAAAAACATGATCAGGCACAAATAGAGTGACAATCAAGAGTAAATGTTACACAATCATGTTTAGTGCTTAGATTCTCTCTAGGTTTACTTTTTTTTTTTAATTGAATGAGCTTAGATATTTGAAAAGCAAAATCTAAAGTAAAGATCTCCAAAATTATAATATAAAGAATTTTTTAAATTCTAGAATTCCAAAATTCATTAAGTCTGCTCATGACAATAAAATGTTTCAGTTTTGGAAATATAAGTCTTTGAAATTAAGAGAATTTTTCAGTACAGTATGTACTGCAATGCCATAAATGGCAACCTGACAATCAGTATTCTAAAAGCACAGATTCAGAGGTTCTCTAAAATACAGAATATATTACTCTAAATTCTGGCCATTTAGAGAAAGACAAAGTTTGGGTGAATGTACTGCTATCAAGGCAGAAAGTCTTTTAGTTAGGAAGGCAGAATTCTAGACAGAATGAGATAACAGACCACAGATTTGAAAATGGGGCACAAGAATAAAAACCTGAGGCTTTCTTTCAAACCAGTATTTGTGTATTAGCTTAAGCATTCCCTATATAGCCTTGTATCAGAGACTTCAGTTCAGATTTTCAGTGACTTCAATGGCTGTTTTCAAAACCAAGTCAAAATGGAAAGGTAGGAAAAGAATTTCTGTAATAGAAATTACTTACATGTGTTTATAAAATACTCACGCAAGTATGCTTGTAACAATGTAAAACTGACAAACCAAATGTTTAGACAGGTAAATGAATTCATATGCAATAGGCCTTCTTACTACAGAGTGCTGTGCACCGTTTAAAAAAAAAAAAAAAGGCAGCAGAACACTCACTTACATGGAAAGACCACCAGAATACGATGCTAAGCTAAAGAGAAAAGTTACAGAATATGTATCGTGTGATGTAATTTAAATTGTGCATATCTGTATACAAACAAGTCAGAACAGAAAACAAGCTTGTGATTAATAACTGTTAAATCTTATAAGTCCTTACTTTTGCCTATTTCATCTACTGATTTCAGAGAGGCATGTAAGTCTTCCACTATGACTGTGACTGTTTTTATGTATTTCAAGGCCCAGTTTTCTGGTGTATAAATGTTCTTTAATTCTATTTTCTTAGTGGATTATGCCTTTTATTGATAGGAAATATAATGCTTTGTCCCATTTAGTGCATTTGAATGATATCTGGCTGATTAATATTGCTCTGGCTTTTTGTTAGCCATTTGCTAACAAAACTATTTTTGTATCTCTTTAGCATTAACCTGTGCTGCTTTGTATTTATCTCTTGTAGTAATGCAAGTTTTATACCTACACATCTATGAAGCTCTCTCGTAACAGAGAAATCTAATCCCTGATGATTACAGACGTATTTAATTTTATTTCCCTACTTACTTCCTCCGCCTTCCCTTCCTTTCCTGCCTTTGTTTGAAATTTCCAAATTTTATTTGCTGTTTCCTACTCATCCTATTTCTAGTCTTCTAGCTGTTGCCCTTGAGTTTTGTTATGTCTTTATTAAAGTACATTTTACATAAATCTTAAGCGTACAGATGGGTGAATTCTTAAAATATACATGTCTTGGGTAATCACCACCCAAACCAAGATGTTCAACACTTCCAGCTCCCCAGAAGGCTCCTTCAAGCTTCTTCCGAGGCAAAAGCCCCTGCAAAAGGTAACCATTATTCAGATCTCTATCACTATAGATGAATTTAACCTGTTTTAAAATTTCACACACATGCAATCACACAATTTTGTGCCTGGCTTGTTTTTTGTCAAAGAAGTAAAATTCATCCATGTTATTCCATGTCACAATAGTCAGCTCTTTTTCCCTGCTATGTAGTATTCCATTGCATGAATAAACCACAACGTATCCATTCTACTATTAACAGGCATTTGACTGATTTCAGTTTTTAAGTACTATTAATAAAAATGCTGTGGTCATTCTTATACATATGTTCTTTAGTGAACAGAAACTTCTCGTTCTGTTAGTTAATTCCCAAGAATGGAACTGCTAGATCATAAGGTATTTGTATACAATATTTAGCATCAGCAGATACTGCCAGTTTTCCAAAGTGGTTATAACATATGCACTCCTCCTCGATCACTGTACACGTGTTCTAGATGCTCTACATCCTAAGCAACATTTGGCACTGTCTACTCTTTTTATTTTTAGTCACCCTCCTTCTGCATTTCTCTAATGATGCTGAACACTTTTTCATGTGTTTATTGGCTACTGTCATCCTTTGGTATCTATGGGGAATGGGTTTCAGGAATCTCCTCAATAATAAACAGATGCTCAAATTCCACAGTTAGCATTGCAGAACCCACAGACATGGAGAGCTTAGTATATTTAGCTGTTTTTCCAGAAATACCTGTTTAGACCTTCTGTCCACTGCTTAACTGAGATGTGTTTGCCTTTCTGTTATTGATTTATATACTCTAGATACAAGTCCTTTGTTGGATATGTGTACTGCAAATATCTTCGCTCATTCTATGGCTTGGTTTGCCTTTCAATTTTTTATTTTTTATTTTTATTTTTATTTTTTTTTGCATGCCAGAATTAAATTGCCTTTTATTCTTAAAAGTGTCTAAGGATGAACATAAGTTCTTAACTTTAATTATGTTCAACTTACTAATATTTTCTTTTATGCTTATTCTCCTATATTTTACTTTAGAAGTTTCTTTTTAACTTTCACATTCAGGCTTTTATCTCAAATTAATTTCTGGGTTAGGTTGAGGTAATGGTATGATTCATTTTTTTCTGTATGGCCATCTGGTTGTTGCAATACCATTTACCGAAAAAACCATCTTTTTTCCACTGATCTGTGGTGGCACTTTTGTCATTAATAATGAAACAATGTAGTTGTGAGTCTAATTCTGGGTAGTTGTGAGTCTAGTCTACATTTTTAATGCACAGTTATGCTCTATTTTTCTACCTACATCTAGAACATCTATAATCTCCCCACAAATGAGATAAGCAATTTTGAAAGCTTGAATTTCTATGTTCCTGTCACAATTTCTCCCACATTAAGATCATCTGGAATTTCAGTTCCAGGCTGTTACCCAAAAACTATTAATTATTGTAGATTAACAATCGAGACTTAGCTATATGAAACACTTCTTTGAATCTCACATCTTTCTCTCTTTGATTCCTTGCTCATTTAGTAGAGTATATCCTCAGTTTTTTCAAAAAGGTTTAAGGTGGTAAATTTTCCAATCTCTCACATCTATTGAAACATCTGTAGTTTGTCCTTCCATCTGAGAGTAATTTGCAGGAAGGGAATTTTACGTTCAAAAACATGAAATTTTGAGTTTCCACTGTCTTCGAGCATTCAACATTGCTAATTTTAAGTCTGATGCCACTTTGATTTTCTTTACTTTGTAGGATAATCTGGAAGCACACAATCTCTATACCTCTATCACCATCGCCACATTACCCAGCTCTGGAAAACTTGAGACTATGTCTAGGTTCATGAGACTTTTCCTTTACCATGGTCAGCTTTCTCTTTCAATCTAAAAGACACCAATTGTTTCCTCATCTCCACATCTCCACAGATACTGAAACAACTAGATTAGCCTCCATTTCTCTATATTTATTTCTCATAACTACTTTGTCCCTCTGAGTTTCATCCTGGGAGAATTCCTTCATACAATTTTCTAGCTAACTCACTCTTCAACAGTACCTATATTCTGCTAGTTGGTGTATCTTCCAAGAATTTCATTTCCATAGGTAATCAACATTATTTTACCATATTTTAAGGAGACATGAAGATATTAATTATGCTAATTTAAAATTTTGTTTAATGAATCTTATCTATATACTCTGCCACCCATATACTACATACTTCTCTCCATGTCTATAAGAACAACAAAGAATCCAAGAGGATTCTTTGGATTGATTAGGGGGGTTGATTAGCATATCAACCTCCCAAAGAGCCTCCTATATCTGAAAGATAAGCCTCCCAATTATTTAGGACCATTACATGTATGAGTATTTTTTAATTTTATTTTAATTTTATTTGTATTTTATTGAGGTGACATCTCACTCTGTTGCCCAAGCTGGAGTGCAGTAGCGTGATCTCAGCTCACTGAAACCTCTGCCTCCCGGGTTCAAGTGATTCTCCTGTCTTAGCCTCCCGAGTAGCTGGGATTATAGGCGCACACTACCACACCCGGCTAATTTTTGTATTTTTAGTAGAGCCGGGGTTTCACCATGTTGGTCAGGCTGGACTCGAACTCCTGACCTCAAGTGAGCCTCCCACCTCGGCCTCCCAAAGTGCTGGGATTACAGACGTGAGCAACCACACCCGGCCATGTGAGTATTTTTTTAAAGGAGGGTTGTGGAATCCCAAAAGAATTCATTTTTTGCAGTCCTTTTTTTCCCCCCCCCCTCCGAGACAGAGTCTTGCTCTGTTGCCCAAGCTGGAGTGCAGTGGTGCTATCTCAGTTCACTGCAACCTCCGCCTCCTGGGTTCAAGCAATTCTCCTGCCTCAGCCTCCATGTTGGCCAGGCTAGTCTCAAACTCCTGACCTCGTGATCTGCCTACCTCGGCCTCCCAAAGTGCTGAGATTACAGGAATGAGCCACCATGCCCGGCCATCTTTTGCAGTCCTTGAAAGCTCCAGTATACTTCAAATCCAGTTATGATTTGATTTTTTCAATGCATTCATGAACTTTCATGGTTAGCCATTCTGTATGCTGTGTCCTTTCCCATATTCATTCAAGAAACTGACCTGTTAAACTCATTCTTAGTTCAGATGAACATCTTCTAAATAAGGCTTTCCTAATACGTGACATTCTGACATCAAATAACTAAACATCAAATAATAATATGATGCAATATTGCTTTATAATATCAAGTAGTTATGCAATGTTTAAATAACTCCAATAAGAGGCATGAATACTCACATGCTGTAAGAGGAACAACTCCCAACCATGCAAAGGCCACAAGTGTATAATGAAACCAATATCGTATTGCAGTACCAATACTTGTAACCAGTCCAGCAAATATGTCTTGAATTGGAAGCCGTGAAGGCATATCTGGAGAATAAACTATAAGCAGAAAAAAGGTACTTAAAATTTCATGAAGATTTGAAAATAGCTTAATTCATAAATATAAAATACATTAATTAAACTTTCAATATTTGCCTTGTGCTTAATTTTTTTCTTATTAAAAGAAATAAAACAAATAGTTACAATATCACATTTACCCAAGAAGTCATTTATGAGGTAAATCACGTGTGAAACGTGGAAATCAACAAAGGCCTCTGAGCAGGAAAAAAAATTCAACAGATGTTCACATCCCTTGCAAATAGCCATAAACTTCATACAAGGCCCATTTACACATATTTTAACATTCAACCAATATAATCATCTGGTTTCCCAAATTATAAGAGATATGATAAAGCAAACAGGAGCAAAAGATGAAACTGAAAACATGCCATCAACACTCCCCCAAATATAAGCATTAAATAGCACTCAAAAAGCACAACAGTCTGCGGCAGATCATTTCACGTGGGAGCAAACATCCCACTGACATTTGTTAGCCACTTTCCCAATGTTAGCATAATACTTAAAATTTCAAACGATAAATTCAGATCTTCCCACTACTCTGCGAAATGTGGCTCAACACATTCAGAAAAAGAAAGGTTCTGCCACATTTTAGGATTCCCTTTTAAAATGGCTCCAATAAAAAAACCACTGCTTATTATTAAAAAGCTCTACCACAGGTAGCTAGGAAAGAACATAAAGGAAAAACACACACTTCTTTCTCCACTAAGGCCAAAACAAGAACTTATGATATATCAGGGTTTAAAAGCAATGACCTAAAATTTTTAAGAGCACTATCACAAAACGGTTCACACCCATAAACATTGAGAAATAAACAATTAACAAATAGCAACTTTTTTTTTTTTTTTGAGACAGAGTCTCACTCTGTTGCCCAGGCTGGAGTGTGGTGGCATAATCTTGGCTCACTGCAAACTCCGCCTCCCAGGTTCAAGTGATTCTCCTGCCTCAGGCTCCCAAGTAGCTGGGATTACAGGCGCCTGCCACCACACCTGGCTGATTTTTGCATTTTTAGTAGAGACAGGGTTTCCACCACGTTGGCCAGGCTAGCCTCAAACTTCTGACCTCAGGTGATCTGCCTGCCTCAGCCTTTCAAAGTGCTGGAATTACAGGCGTGAGCCACAGCGCCTGGCCACAAATAGCAACTTTTAATGACACATGCCCACAGATCATAGACTTCCATAGGATATCTGGCATACAAGAGTAAGTCATTAAAACCAGTAATAATAGAGGTTTTTTTGGAAAACATAAAAGAAATAGAGAATATAACTACCAAATGAAAATTAAAATGTACAAAAAAAGCTGCTTCTGGCCTCAAAGTAAAAGGCCACGTATTTCCTATCAACTGAATTTCATGAAGATACTTAACTATTTAGTCTTAGTTTCCTATGAATCTTGACAAGCTGTACAGCTTTTATGTACTACAGAAAATTAATTACTACAAAATAACAGAATTGAGTTTTTTAGATGAATATACAGCTCCAAAAGTGAAAGTGTAATAACTTTAATCATTTATACTCATCAAATAAAAACAAAGTAAAACACTAATTTACAGCATTTATATTGAGAAGCTCAAGATGCTTTAAAGGAAACCACACACACACAACTAAAACACAAAAATCCTTTGTAAGGGAAGGCAATGTAGGGCATCCCAGAATGAAAAATTATGCTTCAAATACTTAATAATCTGCCAGCACAGTCCTCTACTTATTTAAGATGAAGCATATTAAGTATTAATAGGCACAGGAATTATAGTTAAAACCTTAAAGGTTGCAAAATATTTTATAAAGGCTTATGAAATACTGACCTTAAAAGTTAGTCTCATGAAAAAAACGGTAATTTAAAACTTTATTTGGCCAGGCAATGTGGCTCAAGCCTGTAATCCCAACACTTTGGGAGGCTGTGGCAGGAGAACTGCTTGAGGCCAGGAGTTCAAGACCAACCTGGGCAATATAGTGAGACCCCCCCCCCAACTCTATTTATTTATTTTTTTTAAGTTTTATGGCTATTATTCTAACCTACACAACTTTAACTCAAAATATAGTCCAAATTTGAAGAGTAGTGAGTATCTGATGAAATCAAGGCATCATTAATTTTTCTAGGTGGATAACGATATTATAGTTACGTTTTTGAAAAAGAACCCTTACCTTTTAGAGATACATACTGAAATATGTACAGATGAAATTATAAATGGTAGAATTATTTTTTAAATAATGGAGAAAAAATAAAAGGATAAAGAGGCAGGCAACAAGAGCATGTGTAAAACAAGACTGGCTATGAGTTGAAACTAAGTGATGGGTACACGTGGACTTGTTAGATTTCTGCATGTGTTTGAACTTTTCTATAATTAAAAGTAAAAAAATGTTTAAAGACAAAAAAAAACCCCACAAATTAAATCTCAAACATGTGTGTGATAAAAGAGAGCATACAGTTTTTAAAAATATTTTCCTAAATAAAATATCAATACTTCCTATCACTATCAAAGACAATCAAGCTGAAAACAGTTGTTTTAAAGTACTTAAACACTTTTTCCCTCTTCCTCTGTCAACTGATCTAAACACCTTTATGCCATGAGTGATAACCAAACAAATGCAGTGAAAAGGTCTAAAGAACTTACTTGGTGTAAAAGCAAATCTGTGCTTGCATAATTCACAGTATTCTTTTCGACTGTGTTTCAGCCACTGAACTAAGCTGTAATTATAAACAGATTCATAAGTACAGAGTTTACAACAAAGAAACCTACAGTTTTGTTGAAAACATTGTTTTTATTAAAAATGTACATATCACAGAGCTTTTAGTTTCAAAATTTTCAAATTTAAAATACTCAACTTTTTGTAACCGCCTTCTAAAAATAAAAAACTACAACAGCTAGACATAAAAACAACACATTTTTCTACCATTAAAAAAGGTTTAATTAATCAAAATTGTGATTTCCTCAAAGCAAAATGAATATGAAAGAATCTCCAAGCATCAACATCAGTTTTAATCCTGGTCTGATAATACTGGTACCTGGTAGCTAGGTCTGCATTCTGGTTCTGCCACTAACTGGCTGGCTATGTGGCCTAGGACAAGTTATCTAACCTTCCTATGCTTCAGTTTCCTCATCTGCATAATAATAACACTCTACCTCATCACAGTTTTCTTATAAGAATTAAGTGAGTTGAGATGTACAAAACACTAAGAATAGTTCTTGGCAAAAAGTTATTCATAAATGTAAGCTACTATTATGCCAAGCAAAACTAGAAAATCGTAACACTTTCGGAGAACAAAATAAGCTCTCCATGGTAGAAATAACAATGGGTAATCACGTGTACCTGGAAGGGGATACACCAAAATAACAGCCATGGTATTAAGAATTAATGGAAAATTTCTTTTCCAAATTTTTGAAATTTTACAATAAAAGGGCTTTTTTAGTTTCCTGTGCTCGGGACAATACAATAAAATTTTAAAAATAATTACAGAGAAAGTACATTGAAATGATCCTTGTTACTGTATACATGACAAAACTGAAGCTCCGACTTACACAACTTTCTAAAAGTATGACTTACCATTCCTGATGGATAAACTTAATACTGCCAGTACATACACAAGGATGATAAAGTGGTTTCTCAGGTGTTCCTTCCGACCGACACACTCTACATATGTCTGTCAATGAAAAAGGAAAATTGAATTTCCTTTGCTTATTAACTTTTTTAAAAAAACAAGAGACAAGCATAAACCAAAATATTGGACATTAAAGCAAGAATCTATCACTTGACAAAACATTAATAGCATGGAGAACTGAAACTTGCGATTAAGTTGCGATTCAAGTGTATATTTAAAACGAAAAAACTTCCTAAATAATGTATTAAAAGTTGTTCCTTTGTATAACAGCTTTTAAATAAACCAAAGTTGAAAATAACAGGAACAGATGATTTTATTTAAAACTGCACTCTCCACAACAGATAATAGAAATATGTAAAATCAGGTCACCATTGGCATCCTAACAGTTTTAAACTCCAGTCCTTTTTTTTTTTTTTTTGAGACAGAGTCTCGCTGTCACCCAGGCTGGAGCGCAATGGCACGATCTCAATGGAGTGCAATGGAGCTCAGTGCAAGCTCCACCTCCCGGGTTCACGCCATTCTCCTGCCTCGGAGTAGCTGGGATTATAGGCGCTCACGATTGCACCCAGCTAGTTTTTTGTATTTTTTAGTAGAGACGGGGTTTCGTCGTGTTAGCCAGGATGGTCTCGATCTCCTGACCTCATGATCCACCCGCCTCGGCCTCCCAAAGTGCTGGGATTACAGGCGTGAGCCACGGCGCGTGGCCTCCAGTCTTAACAATTTAATGGTTTAAAGTCCTAACAGCCTAAACTCCACAAAACACATCTGAGGACTCACCACAGTAACAGCAGTTAGAAGACATGCTTTTCATGTCGTCCCACCCCACAAGAGTGTGAAGTAGACAGACACAGAAACACACACACACACTTCAAGGACTGGTTGGGGGAGGGGATACCCCAAAGCCACAAAGGCACCAGGCCACAGAGAGATGAGCCGGAAGCCACCTTAAGCAGAAGGGACAGGAGTCCAGTGCTAAGGGGTCCTTGGACCGCAGCCCACCCCTCATGCCCAGCATTACGAGGCTCTAGGGGCACATTTGCCTGTCCTCCTGCCTGGAGTGGACCCGAAGCAGCACGACGGTGGAGGAACCACTACTGATCCTTCGCACTCTCGCTTTAAAGCTCCTACCTGGGTCCACTTAGGGAACCCTGGCTATAACTTTTATTTTCGACCGTTCTCAGCTATGCGTCAGGGCCAAGAGCCAATCCCTAGTGGCCTATCGAGGGAGAATCAGCAGAAACTTAATGCATACTTTCGGCCTGCTCTCTCACGGGGAATTCTTCCTTAACAAGGAATTACTACAATCCCGATCCGCATCACTAATGGATTTAATGGGTCTCTGGCACCCATCGGATTCAAATAAGCACATGCTGAGAGCAGTGTGGTGCGTGGTTCCAGGCATTTAAGAGCATCACAGACCTGTGGCTACTCTTCTGTGGGTGGGGGTGCATGCCTTTTCTAGGCTGGTGGAGAGATCCGTCTGGTGACTAGATAACCAAGGAGACTAGTGTGCTAACCAGTTGGGCGATCCAGAGTTTAATTGCTCAATCTCAGATGGCTGAATGTCATTTGTCTGAATTGGGGGATGCTGAATGCTCGCCTAACTGGTTAGCATGCTAGTCTTCCTGGTTATCGATTAACTACCAGTCAAATCTCTTCATCGAGTAGAAAAGCCATGCACCCCCATCCACAGAACAACTATCAATGGGACAATCCTGTCTGTGCTGGAAGCAGGTAAGGTTGCTCATGTTGAGTAGAATTATGCCATCCCTACTGCTGCTGCCTTTCAGATTCAGCTTTGAACACAGACCTTCCTCCTACCACAACCCAAAGGGTTTCCTGGAAGCTGCTAGTGGGTCATGGGCATTAATGCAGTGGTCAACATCACATTTATGTTCGTAACTACACAGGACCTGAACTTCTTTAAACTTCCTACTTTCACCTTCATCCTTGGTTAATGAAAACATCCTTGGCAAAAGCTTTCACTCTGATCAGTCTTACTACCGGCCCAGAATTTGAGTCCTAGCGGTGCAATACTAATGCCCCAACTGCCCTGCTTAATCAGCTTCCTCAAAGTTTTGACACAAACAAAATAGAACCACACTCCCATTCCATGATTCCCACCAGCAGTATCCAGGCAGCCCACACTACTTTGAACACTAATTTTCTTCAAGTGCACACTTCAGCTCCAGGGAAACTCAGGGAAGAGCCCGGAAGGTACCAAAAGGCAAGAGGCATGGACTTTCTTGCAATGGACCCCGGCAGCACCTAAGATCCAAGAACAAGCATTTTAATGGCCACAAATTCAGCACACCACACTGAAAGTGGGATTACCGTGGCTGCCAGCACCACGCTTGCCCTGCAATAGATTCTCTTTAAAGGATTTAAAGTGGACTCTTTCCAACTACAGGGCCTTGAAAGAGTTCCATGTTGTTTTAATCATTATCTTCCAGGGTTGGGAGTGGGTAATTTGTGCGCCTGCTGCGTTCCTTAGATAGGATATTAATTTATCAGGCTCTCTCTGCAAAACCAAATTGAGATTCCCTATTACTAAGATTCTTGGTCACAGTGGTCGCCTCAGCAGGCACTATAACAGCCACCTAAGAGTGACAGGGCCATGGCAGGGGTGGGGGGAAAATGTGATTGATCTAGGTTACCTAGAATCACCAGAGTCACAGCAGCTGCAGGTGTAGATCAGTTCTACAATAACCAGTTATCTATGTAGAAGCTGAACCCACATTCAGCCATTCACACCCCCACTGTGGATTAACCTTTGAGACTGGCATGTGCTACTCCTGTAGGATCTACCAGGGAGGGTGGGTGCAAGTGTGGATATACAGGTCCCAGGCATAGGATCTGGGCTCCCTAGCCCACACTCGGATGGCTGTGCAAGTAGGAAGTAGGGTATAGCAGCCACAGCATGGCAAAGGGTGTCCCACCCATGGGATGCTGCCCTCCAGGAACATCGTGACTGGTAGGCCATTGACTACGGCCTGGGGTATGGTAAAGATAGTCCTGTTGGCACGCTGCTGCCTGTGAGATGCAAGGACAACAGGTGGAGTGATATCCACATGGGTACAGTACTGGTCACATGGTGAGCTCATTTCATGATACAAAACACTGCCACCTAGGCAACTTAGCCCTGCGTGGCCTGAGAAAGCTGTGGTCGGGACCAAAGCAATGGCAAACTCCAGGGTACACTCACCCACAGGAAGCACTGCTCACTCCAAGTGGATGGCCAGCTAGCAAATTGTGGAACAGGACAGGTGGAGTAGGGAGAGAGACACGGATCTCCACTCAGAAGTATGCAGACATACACATGAATTAGAGCACTGATTTTTCAGAAGACCCCTGTCCTTCTGAATGACAAACCAAGAAACAACATACTAAGCAAACCCAACAACTCTAAAATCAAGCCCCAGGGCTCCGCTTGGCCTAGAGGAGAGAACTGGGATCCCAAGTTTCTCACTCAGAGAATGCAAAGACACAACTACTATCCTAGTAACACTTAAGTTTTTTTTTTTTAAGAGACAGGGTCTTGCTGTGTCACCCAGGCTGGAGTGCAGTGACACCACCATAGCTCACTGTAACCTCCAACTCCTGGCCTCAAGCAATCCTCCCATCTCAGCTCCCAAAGCACTAGGATTGCAGGCATGAGCCACCATGCCCAGCTCCTAAGACTTCTTTTTCACTTACTGTCTTGCCAGTTTGCAGTGGTATTTTCTAGAGGCTATATGAGACAACAGAATGAATGCACTAGAGATGAAAAGACCCAGCTGCTTCTCATTAAACTAGGTATTAAAGAGATTGGCAAATATAAAACAAATCCACTTTCCTCATCAATTTTGGGGGTCTGGAATAGTTATTTTCATGAAAAATAGTATTTATATTAACACATAATGAGTGCTGTTATTTTAAAGCAAATTAATAAATACTTCCAAAATTGTTCTTCAAGGAGTTTGTCAAGAAGAAGAACAAGTGCATTAATCCATGTGTTACTTTAATTTGATTATATGAAAACAATGACAGGTTAGGTCTCAAGTAGGGAAAAAAAATCCTGAAGGGAATTCTAACATATCATTATTTCCAAGCAGTATTAATAACTCTTTAAAATCTCCCGAGTATCTATTTTCGCATAGAGTCAATTGTATAATGAAGTACAAAAAATTCTAATGAATGGATTAACGATCACTATTGCTACATGCTTTTAAGTCAAAACATATTTTACAAAACTACTGACATGATCACATTTCATAAAGCATTATATCCACTAACAATAGTACACAGACATGATAAAAGAATAAAGATCTTTAAGATGCTGTGGGTTTTCTCCCCCCTCAATTGGGTCTTAGGAGAAAAAGGAATATAAGGAAAAGGAAAATTAACTTTCTGCTCCATTATGGAACAGAAAACATCAAAATCCAAAATGATGTTTTCATATTCTCAAAATTAATTTTAAGTAATTAACTGGCATTTGATCTTCCATGTCTCTATGTCTCTCTCTTTTTTTTTTTTTTTGGCCTACTCACATTGGCAGCAATAAAAATTGCTATTTTAAAATCTCTGTGGGGAGTGGACATTACGGGAGCACACCACCACATTTGGCTAATTTTTTTAGGAGATGGAGTCTCACTATGTTGCCCAGGATGGTCTCAAACTCCTGGCCTAAAGTAATCATCTTGTCTCAGCCTCCTGAATAGCTGTGACTATAGATGCCAGCCAGCAGCTACTTGCATGTCTTTTAACTTCTATTTGGTATAATGTACTAGAAACTTTAATGAAGGCGTTTTAAAAGACTAACCACTGCCTCGAAAAAAAAAAAGTATAAAAAAGCACAACATTCATTTGTTACTTTGACATCAGTTAGGAACTACCCTTTATTTCATTACCTACCGATATGGTTTGGCTGTGTCCCCACTCAAATCTCATCTTGAATTCCCACGTGTTGTAGGAGAGACCTGGTGGGAGGTAATTGAATCATGGGGGCAAGTCTTTGCAGTGCTGTTCTCGTGATAGTGAGTAAGTCTCACGAGATCTGATGGTTTGAAAACCAGGA